TCAGCCCTACTTTGTGTGAACGGAGTAGTTTCAAACTCTCCTGAGATGTTCAGAACACGAACTGATGACATTTCATGAATTGTCATCATATAATTATGTGACAAAACAAACAACCATGTTTTTGTTGACTATGTTTATTCCTATTCATCACTTGATAATTTCATACGCCCCAATAAAACATGTCAAGGCCAAGAAATGACTGTAAAAGTGTCGGGTCTGGCGTGGATTCAACTGTGTCTGGTTGATGAATGTGTTGGTTGGACCTTTTCTAAAGACAAAACGAGTCTCGCAGGGGAAAATAAATACCATTCCATATTTGTCTTGATGAGGAACCAGAATCCTGAGAGAGTAAGATGGTGGCATAACAGTATAATGATGACAGAGGATGCTGCCCGCCCCAGTGCTGTTCTTTACAACAGCGAGCCAATGACTCCGAATAATTAAACACAGAGGAACAAATGATAGTCCCACTAAGCCCAAACCAGATGGGATGGCGTATCGCTGCAGAATGATGTGGTAACAATGCTGGTTAAGTGTGCCTTGAATTCTAAATAAATCACACACAGTGTCACTAGCAAAGCACCCCGACACCATAGCACCTCCTCCTCCATGCTTTACGGTGGGAACTACACATGCAGAGATCATCCGTTCACCCACACCGCGTCTCACAAAGACACGGTGGTTGGAACAAAAAATCTCAAATTTGGACTCTAGGCCAAAGGCCAAATTTCCACTGGTCTAATGTCCATTGCTCGTGTTTCTTGGCCCAAGCAGGTCTCTTCTTATTATTGGTGTCCTTTAGTAGTGGTTTCTTTGCAGCAATTCAACCATGAAGGCCTGATGCACACAGTCTCCTCTGAACAGTTGATGTTGAAATGTGTCTGTTACTTGAACTCTGTGAAGCATTTATTTGGGCTGCAATTTCTGAGGCTGGTAACTGTAATGAACTTATCCTCTGCAGCAGAGATAACTGTGGGTCTTCCATTCCTGTGGCGGTCCCCATGAGAGACAGTTTCATCATAGCGCTTGATGTTTTTTGCGACTGCACTTGAAGAAACTTTCAAAGTTCTTGACATTTTCAGTATTGACTGACCTTCATTTCTTTAAGTAATGATGGACTGTCGTTTATCTTTGCTTATCTGAGCTGTTCTTGCCATAATATGGACTTGGTCTTTTACCAAATAGGGCTATCTTCTGTATACCCCACCTACCTTGTCACAACACAACTGATTGGCTCAAACGCATTAACTTTTAAGAAGGCACACCTGTTAATTGAAATGCATTCCAGGTGACTACCTCATGAAGCTGGTTGAGAGAATGCCAAGAGTGTTCAAAGCTGTCATCAAGGCAAAGGGTGGCTAATTGAAGAATCTCAAATATAAAATATATTTTGATTTGTTTAACACTTTTTTGGTTACTACATGATTCCATATGTGTTATTTCATAGTTTTGATGTCTTCAGTAAAAATAAAGACAAACCCTTGAATGAGTAGGTGTGTCCAAACTTTTGGGGTCACTTAGAAATGTCCTTGTTTTCCATGAAAACATACATGAAATGGGTTTGAACAGGAAATATTGCAAAATGCATAGGAAATGTAGTCATTGACAAGGTTAGAAATAATGATTTTTAATAGAAATAATAATTGTGCCCTTCAAACTTTGCTTTCGTCAAAGAATCCTCCATTTGCAGCAATTACAGTCTTGCAGACCTTTGGCATTCTAGTTGTCAATTTGTTGAGGTAATCTGAAGAGATTTCACCCCATGCTTCCTGACGCACCTCTCACAAGTTGGATTGGCTGCTCCCACAACAGCTCAATAGGGTTGAGATCCGGTGACTGTGCTGGCCACTCCATTATAGACAGAATAACAGCTGACTGCTTCTTCCTTAAATAGCTCTTGCATAGTTTGGAGCTGTGCTTTGGGTCATTGTCCTGTTGTAGGAGGAAATTGGCTCCAATCAAGCGCCGTCCACAGGGAATGGCATGGCGTTGCAAAATGGAGTGATATCCTTCCTTCTTCAAGATCCCTTTTACCCTGTACAAATCTCCCACTTCACCAACACCAAAGCACCCCCAGACCATCACATTGCCTCCACCATGCTTGACAGATGGCATCAAGCACTCCTCCAGCATCTTTTCATTTGGTATGCGTCTCACAAATGTTCTTCTTTGTGATCCGAACACCCCAAACTTCAACTAGTCTGTCCATAACACTTTTTTCCAATCTTCCTCTGTCCAGTGTCTGTGTTCTTTTGCCCATCTTAATCTTTTCTTTTTATTGGCCAGTCTGAGATATGGCTTTTTCTTTGCAATACTGCCTAGAAGGTCAGCATCCCGGAGTCGCTTCTTCACTGTTGACGTTGAGACTGGTGTTTTGCGGGTACTATTTAATGAAGCTGCCAGTTGAGGACCTGTGAGGCGTCTGTTTCTCAAACTAAACACTCTAATGTATTTGTCCTCTTGCTCAGTTGTGCACCGGGGCCTCCCACTCCTCTTTCTATTCTGGTTAGAGACTGTTTGCGCTGTTCTGTGAAGGGAGTAGTACACAGCGTTGTACGAGATCTTCAATTTCTTGGCAATTTCTCGCATGGAATAGCCTTCATTTCTCAGAACAAGAATAGACTGACGAGTTTCAGAAGAAAGTTATTTGTTTCTGGCCATTTTGATCCTGTAATCGAATCCACCATTGCTGATGCTCCAGATACTCAACTAGTCTCAAGACGGCCAGTTGTATTGCTTCTTTAAATCAGCACAACAGTTTTCAGCTGTGCTAACATAATTGCAAAAGGGTTTTCTAATGATCAATTAGCCTTTTAAAATGATAAACTTGGATTAGCAAACACAACGTGTCATTGGAACACAGGACTGATGGTTGCTGATAATGGGCCTGTGTACGCCTGTGTAGATATTCCATAAAAAATCAGCTGTTTCCAGCTACAATAGCCATTTACAACATTAACAATGTCTACAATGTATTTCTGATCAATTTAAATGTTCTTTTATTGGACAAAAAAAGTGCTTTTCTTTCGAAAAACAAGGACATTTCTAAGTGACCCCAAACATTTGAACGGTAGTGTATATATTTATATAAACTCAGCAAAAAAAGAAACAGCCCTTTTTCAGGACACTGTCTTTCAAAGATAATTTACAAAAATCCAAATAACTTCACAGATCTTCATTGTAAAGGGTTTCAACACTGTTCAATGAACCATAAACACCATCCTTGTTCAATGAACCATAAACAATTAATGAACATGCACCTGTGGAACGGTCGTTAAGACACTAACAGCTTACAGACGGTAGGCAATTAAGGTCACAGTTATGAAAACTTAGGACACTAAAGAGGCCTTTCTACTGACTCTGAAAAACACCAAAAGAAAGATGCCCAGGGTCCCTGCTCATCTGCGTGAACGTGCCTTTGACATGCTGCAAGGAGGCATGAGGACTGCAGATGTGGCCAGGGCAATAAATTGCAATGTCCGTACTGTGGGACGCCTAAGACAGCGCTACAGGGAGACAGGACGGACAGCTGATCGTCCTCGCAGTGGCAGACCACGTGTAACAACACCTGCACAGGTACATTCGAACATCACACCTGTGGGACAGGTACAGGATGGCAACAAAACTGCCCGAGTTACACCAGGAACGCACAATCCCTCCATCAGTGCTCAGACTGTCCGCAATAGGCTGAGAGGGGCTGGACTGAGGGCTTGTAGGCCTGTTGTAAGGCAGGTCCTCACCAGACATCACCGGCAACAACGTTGCCTATGGGCACAAACCCACCGTCACTGGACCAGACAGGACTGGCAAAAAGTGCTCTTCACTGATGAGTCGCGGTTTTGTCTCACCAGGGGTGATGGTCGGATTCGTGTTTATCGTCGAAGGAATGAGCGTTACACCGAGGCCTGTACTCTGGAGCGGGATCGATCGATTTGGAGGTGGAGGGTCCGTCATGGTCTGTGGCGGTGTGTCACAGCATCATCGGACTGAGCTTGTTGTCATTGCAGGCAATCTCAATGCTGTGCATTACAGGGAAGACATCCTCCTCCCTCATATGGTACCCTTTCTGCAGGCTCATCCTGACATGACCCTCCAGCATGACAATGCCACCAGCCATACTGCTTGTTCTGTGTGTGATTTCCTGCAAGACAGGAATGTCAGTGTTCTGCCATGGCCAGCGAAGAGCCCGGAACTCAATCCCATTGAGCACGTCTGGGATCGGAGGGTGAGGGCAAGGGCCATTCCCCCCAGAAATGTCTGGGAACTTGCAGGTGCCTTGGTGGAAGAGTGGGGTAACATCTCACAGCAAGAACTGGCAAATCTGGTGCAGTCCATGAGGAGGAGATGCACTTCAGTACTTAATGCAGCTGGTGGCCACACCAGATACTGACTGTTACTTTTGTTCAGGGACACATTATTCAATTTCTGTTAGTCACATGTCTGTGGAACTTGTTCAGTTTATTTCTCAGTTGTTGAATCTTGTTATGTTCATACAAATATTTACACATGTTAAGTTTGCTGAAAATAAACGCAGTTGACAGTGAGAGGACGTTTCTTTTTTTTGCTGAGTTTATATATTTTTTTTTTTTACAAAAAATTAAGAGTACAGATTATTTTGGAGAAAGATAATTAGAAAAATGTAATTGTATTGAGTATATTATTTCTTTCTTTTAGATGAAAATGCAATGAATTGAATGTTATTTGTTGATGTAAAAATATTTGTTATTTGGGGTGGGGTGGGGTCGCAATAAATTATTGGGGGGAAAATGGGGTCTCCAGAAATATCGGTGAAAAAAAAGGGGTCCCCGCTAAAAAAGTTTGAATACCACTGTTTTAGAGGGACAGTTATCCAATCTAGGTTGCTTCATTTAAGATCTTGGTAACATAAAAATCACTTTCATTCCAAATAAATTGTATTTAACTCAATTTAATTTGAATTTTTAAATGTTTAAACATGTATTGCTATGTGTATGAGGAACGAGCAGTGTAGAGTGTGTCGTTTACCTACCTGTTACAAGCTGTCCAGCCAGAGCATTGTTACCCTTATAGAACACCCTGGCACACAGTGGAGAGAGCCCACCACCACCCATCTTCTGCATGGCACTCTGAAGTGTAGCAACCAGTGCCCCCAGTATCTCCCCTTCCACCCCTGAGACAGCTGGCGCAGAGGTGGGCACCATCAGGGCCAGGGATACAGTGGCACACTGGCTATCGCTGGACAGCATGGCATGACATTCTATGGTTCCACACGCCACCTCAGTGGTCATGTGGCAGGTAGTCCTGTGTCTGGGGTCGTCGTGGGCAGCGATGACATGCAGTTCCACAGCCGCGCCCCTGGGTAAGGAGGGGACCACGGTAACCACCAAGGGTCCACTCTGAATCGCTTGCTCCCCGAATGGTTCCTCCTGCAATACAGAAAGGTGCCCTTTATATTTGAGACAATGCACATTTTATCAAAAAGAGAATGATTTGAATATCCAATACCTGAGAGAAAGCATATGCCAGGTGTCTGAGAGGAACATGAGGAAGATTGGAGATTGAAAGGTGAGCCTGGGTTATATACCAGGGTACGGACAATAATCATTTGTCAAACATACTTATATGGATGCCGACACAGCTATCCATCAATAACAGCACATATAATGTGTTTGAAGTCCATCTGATAACATGACAGCTTCTTTCAAATAAGCCTTTTTCACCGTTTCAAAGAAGATCATGATTCAGGTTGTGGCCATTTCACACTAATTCACCAATCACCGTTAGACATTTAGCAGAAAACTGCTGTGATGGCTTCAAATGATTACATTTGCAGAGTTCAAATCTGTTTTCCCCCTCCAGACGGTGTCAGTGGGCCATTATCAGCTACAAAATGTCTTCTGCCAGCTCGCAGCACAATGTAGCCCTCAAATAATACTTGGCTGCGGCCCTCATCTGCTAATGGGAGAGAAATGAGCGTTTTATACAAGTCATTTCGGCTGGAGTCGATAGGGCAAAAACACTTAACCCCCTTTTCAATTTGCTGGATCAATTTTCATCCACTTACACCCCACTTCGTAAGTGCAGAATAATAACAGGTTACATACACTTTATTTTGTAATTCAGTCACACAAAAAATCATTGACAAGAGCCGACGAGCGGCCTCTTTGTCCCCCTCGATAAAGGAACCCGTCGCGACCCAATCCGCCAGCTACATGAACGCCTGCGCCACTTACCTCCAGATTAAACTTTAGCTAAGGCCTAATTGTGTATCAACAGCCAACCTCTCGCCTTGGAGAGTGGAGAAGGACGATGGGGGGGAAACCTAAGGGGGGGAGTGCCTAGATCTGTTCACTCCATTTCTTCACTGTGAAGCTCTATCTAGTGGTGATGAATAATAACAACAACAGGGAACAATAGTGTGACAGGGACGGAAGGCCTGTGTGGTGTTGAGTGGTGTGACAGGATACATACGTGGCCTCTGCTTTGATAAATGTTAGATTAGCACTTAGCGCACAGCTAGGTATTCTCCTGGAGGGGCCCAGGCCTACACTTGTCAATACTCATTGCTCTGGGAGTGGGAAGGGATGGGGTGGTGAGGGGGACAGGGGGGAGAAGAGCCCTGCTTAACCAGGCTTAAAGGCCATCCTGTTGGCCCAGGGTGCTGACGTACCGTACCCAACGAGACGACAGAGAACCTCAATGTCGATGCTACGCTTAGCTACGGTACTCTAGCCTCTGGCCGATCACTGCAGACAGTCACACAAACCTAAACTTCCCGACTTTGTTTTTCCTCCCAGACTTGTCTGAGGTGGTTATATCAACTCCTTTATTTATTTATATCTCTCCAAATGTTACATTAACAGAGAGCGCTTGGTACAGTACATTTGGTCCTTTCTGAGTATTCTTTTTCCTTCCCTGTGATTTCAGTGTTTCAGTCTGTGGTGATGTTTCAGTCTGTGGTGATGTTTCAGTCTGTGGTGATGTTTCTGTCTGTGGTGATGTTTCAGTCTGTGTGTGTAGTCAGTCAGTACTTCATTACTGTAGTGTGTATCCCTGCTGTCAGGAGTAAAAGCACTCTACCCACCTGACACCCCCTGCCTGACTAGAAATAATGTATTAAATGAATCCAATAAAATAAAGAGGTGACAAATTGTGATATATGACTGTGCTGAGTGCTTGCAGTAGAGTTTGTGTGTGTGTGTGTGTGTGTGTGTGTGTGTGTGTGTGTGTGTGTGTGTGTGTGTGTGTGTCAGTGTGTATGTATGTGTGATTGGGGCAGCCCTGCTCTTTAATGCAGGGTGCTCCATAATGCAATACATCACATTACTTCATCCCTTCATTCAGTTGGCTCACTAACAATCCCCCTCTCTCTCTCTCTCTCGCTCTCTGTGAAAATCTGGAACTCGCTCAGCCACTGTCGGAAGGAGGGTGTGACCTGCTTTCCACCATGTTTATTTTATTTCCCCACTTCCTTTCCCCCTCTCCTTCTCTCTCACAGACGCTTGGCGCAGGGCTGAGGACCAGAGAGGCGTGAAAGGCGAACGGTAAACACCGTAATAAGGAAGTGGTGTAAAGCCGGCGAGCAGCGGGGAGCTGATGGGGCCTAGCCGCTTAGGCAGTTCCCCTACATTTCCTGCCCAGCGGGAGGCCTTCAGCGCGTGGCTGGGGCTGCCTGGCTCTCCTCTCCTCTGTGTGGCTGCCTGAGAGACGTGGGCCGCCAGTGCCCACATTATCCCCCCTCTCCTCTCTCCGTTTCCTCTGCAGGCTGGCTGGCTGACTGTAGCCCTGGGGCCACTTGTATAAACCAAAGCCTATCTACTGCTGCTGTGGTGGTGGAGGTGCGTTAGGCTAGCTAACACTAACAGCTCCCTCCTGAAGAGAGGGGGCAAAACAGGGTTAAAGGCAGGAGAGGGGATATACAGGAGGGAGTGAGAGGAACCCTTATTATATAAGGGCCTATATGTTTAGGTGAATATGGGAAGGAGATGGAGATTGATGGATACCAAAAAGAGGGTCTACTACAGAACACTCAAGCCGGGATTCAGACAAACACAGAAAAGGACAATAGCATGGCACTTGACTTCGCACTGTGATCTTGTGTAACTTCTTATGATGGAAATTGCCATTCGATCACACATCACATAATGTGCATTCATGAATACCAAACGTTTAGCTTAACTAATAACTAGGAGAAAATCCATTGGCATCAACAGAAAAGAAGTCGCTGTGTTTTCCAGTCCTTTTGTCTGTACCAACTGAGAAGTCTGGCTAACAATTACAGACATATAGCATGCACACCTCCTTATTCATCTCTCTCTCTCTCTCACACACACACACACACACACACTGACCTCACGGTTCGACGCGCCATAAATACGATTTTACATGCGAGGCAGCTCCAGCGTGCTCCCAATTAACCCTGCGAGCTTCCCCGTCCACCTGATTGGAGAAATTATCAACGCACAACAACAACATGGCCGCTCGGCGCGTCTGCGGAGCCACGCAGCCGTGTTTCCTTCTGCCTCAGCAGCCTGATGTCTCCCACCTCATCACAGCTCTGATTGCTGGTTACGTTTGTACGTGGCGCTGGACGTAAACGTGATAAATGTTTTTGTCCGTTATTATTCGTGGCGCCGAAAATAAAATAGCAAGAGGGTTTTAGTGTTGCTTGATTGGCTGCAGGAGCTGGTCAGGTAAAAGTGAGTGAGACCTGGGAGTCAAGTTGTTTAAACTAACAAGAGAAGACACTTTTAATAAAACTGAGCCTGGTTTTAGTCAGGGGTGGATTTAGGGTCTATTGGTTTCCTATGTAGCTAATTGCATGGGTGAAAATTTGGTTTCTGTGAAGAGCCACCACATCAGGTGTTTCTAGTGTGAATCAATAGCTACTGACAAATATAATTGTCCACATCTAAAAACTGGCCCTGGAGCTTTACAGTTTCTAGTTTACATCATTATGTTGCAAAAAGTTTAATAATTACCAATTTACATGGAATTCCTAAGTGGAACTTCTAAGTGAATACCAGGTAAAAAGCACACAGTAAAATACAGTAACCAAGAACATAAATATCTCATTTATTGCAGGTGCACTCATCCAGTCCTGAGCCTTGTGTGAGTGAGTGAATGAAGGAGAGGGTAAGTTATTCCCCCGTCTCTGCATGAGTGGTGTTATCTGTATTTGACCTGTGTTAAATATTCTCATCACAATCACTTCAAATGAGCACCGGCGCTTTGTCTAATCCAAACCCCGGGGACAGAGCCATTTCACCAGGCCCAGGATGAAATGCAGGCAGGCCCCTGCCACAGACTCTCTCTCTCCCCTGGATCCTCTCCTCCCTCCCCACCTGCGCTGAGAGGGGGAGGGAGGGGAGGAGGGATGGAGGAGCTGGGAACTACCAGCATCTATTGCTACTCGAAGACTACCTCAGAAAGGGGGAGGTGGGAGGTTAGTAACCCTTACCAGCTAGCCCACTGTACTAGTATCTACAAGCTGAGAGAGGGTTAACTAACCTGTTCAGGGGGGAAAGAACACAGAGCTGTCAATCTGAGGAGGGGTTAATTCAAGTGCCAGTCAAGATGGAGGACTCTCAAGGTGCCAATAAGCAGTCCGCTGGAGACATCAAAAAGACTTGTTTTCACCGATTTATTGAATGTTGAACAGATGGACAATGTTGACAATCTTGGAGCACATCTGACCTGGTCCTGTAGCCAACTAGTTCCCTAAGCTTTGACCTCAGTGAGTCAATGGTCTGACAGTCCCTAAACTACATGCTAATTACTAGCATTCAATGTGTTATAATTTGGAACGTTTATTTTACTCATGTTGGGGGAGGCCAGCTATGGGCCAGGGAATAGTTTAAATTAATTCATATTACCTTCCTCACAATAGACTTATGGGTCCTCACTTTGTCACTAAGTCCCAACTCTATCAATAATTCCTCACTAGACTCTTCGTGGAGCATATACACTGAGTATACCAAACATTAAGAACACTTTCCTAATATTGAGTTGCACCCCCCCCACACCTTTCCCCTTAGAAAAGCCTCAATTCGTAGGGGCATGGACTCTACAAGGTGTCAAAAACGTTCCACAGGGATGCTGGCCCATGTTGACTCCAAATGCTTCCCATAGTTTTGTCAATTTGGCTGGATGTCCTTTGGGTGGTGGACCATTCTTGATACAGACGGGAAACTGTTGAGCGTGAAAAACCCAGCAGCGTTGCAGTTCTTGACACAAACCGTTGTGCCTGGCACCTACTACCATAACCTGTTCAAAGGCACTTACATTTTATATCTTGCCCATTCACCCTCTGAAATGGCATAGATACACAATCCATTAAGAATCCTTCTTTAACCTGATTCAAGTGTATTTAACAACTGACATCAATAAGGGATCATAGCTTTCACCTGTTCACCAGGACGTGTACTCCGAGCATGTGCTGACCAACTGGCAAGTGTCTTCACTGACATTTTCAACATGTCCCTGACTGAGTCTGTAATACCAACATGTTTCAAGCAGACCACCATAGTCCCCATGCCCAAGGACACTAAGATAATCTGCCTAAATGACTACCGACCCGTAGCACTGACGTCTGTAGCCATGAAGTGCTTTGAAAGGCTGGTCATGGCTCACATCAACACCATTATCCCAGAAACCCTAGACCCACTCCAATTTGCATACCGCCCCAACAGATCCACAGATGATGCAATCTCTATTGCACTCCACACTGCCCTTTCCCACCTGGACAAGAGGAACACCTACGTGAGAATGCTATTCATTGACTACAGCTCAGCATTCAACACCATAGTGCCCTCAAAGCTCATCACAAAGCTAACGATCCTGGGACTAAACACCTCCCTCTGCCACTGGATCCTGGACTTCCTGACGGGCCGCCCCCAGGTGGTAAGGGTAGCTAACAACACATCTGCCACACTGATCCTCAACACGGGGCCCCTCAGGGGTGCGTACTCAGTCCCCTCCTGTACTCCCTGTTCACCCATGACTGCATGGCCAGGCATGACTCCAACATCATCATTAAGTTTGCCAACGACACAACAGTGGTAGGCCTGATCACCGACAACGATGAGACAGCCTATAGGGAGGAGGTCAGAGACCTGGCCGTGTGGTGCCAGGATAACAACCTCTCCCTCAACGTGACCAAGACAAAGGAGATGATTGTGGACTACAGGAAAAAAAAGAGGACTGAGCACGCCCCCATTCTCATCGACGGGGCTGTAGTGGAACAGGTTGAGAGCTTCAAGTTCCTTGGTGTCCACATCACCAACAAACTATCATGGTCCAAACACACCAAGACAGTCGTGAAGAGGGCACGACAAAGCCTATTCCCCCTCAGGAGACTGAAAAGATTCGGCATGGGTCCTCAGATCCTCAAAAAATTCTACAGCTGCACCATTGAGAGCATCCTGACTGGTTGCATCACCGCCTGGTATGGCAACTGCTTGGCCTCCGACCGCAAGGCACTACAGAGGGTAGTGCGTACAGCCCAGTACATCACTGGGGCCAAGCTTCCTGCCATCCAGGACCTCTATACCAGGCGCTGTCAGAGGAAGGCCCTCAAAATTGTCAAAGACTCCAGCCACCCTAGTCATAGACTGTTCTCTCTGCTACCGCACGGCAAGCGGTACCGGAGTGCCAAGTCTAGGTCCAAAAGACTTCTCAACAGCTTCTACCCCCAAGCCATAAGACTCCTGAACAGCTAATCTTGGCTACCCGGACTATTTGCACTGCCCCCACACCCCATCTTTTTACGCTGCTGCTACTCTGTTAATTATTTATGCATAGTCACTTTAACTCTACCCACATGTACATATTACTTCAACTACCTCAACTAGCCGGTGCCCCCACACATTGACTCTGCACCGGTACCCCCCTGTATATATAGCCTCCCTACTATTATTTTATTTTACTTCTGCTCTTTTTTTCTCAACACTTTTTTGTTGTTGTTTTATTTTACTTTTTTATTAAAAATAAATGCACTGTTGGTTAAGGGCTGTAAGTAAGCATTTCACTGTAATGTCTGCACCTGTTGTATACGGCGCATGTGGCCAATAAAAATTTATTTGATTTGATTAGATGTTTTTTCTCCACCTGGTCAGTCTATGTCATGGAAAGAGCAGGTGTTGTTAATGTTTTGTATACTCTAGTTACTCTAGTTGGATATCTAGTTGTCACGATCGTTATGTGAAGCGGACCAAGGCGTAGTGTGATAGGCGTACATACTTTATTTAAGTGTACACAACACGAACAAAAACAATAAACAAAACGATACGTGAAGTCCTAGGTAATACAACAAACCATACGGAACAAGATCCCACAAATAACTAGTCCAAAACAGGCTGCCTAAGTATGGTCCCCAATCAGAGACAACGAACTACAGCTGTCTCTGATTGGGAACAACCCTGGCCAACATAGATCAACACGATCTAGAAACAAAAACATAGAAAACAAAACATAGAAAATCCACACCCTGGCTCAACATATAAGAGTCCCCAGAGCCAGGGCGTGACAGTACCCCCCCCCCCAAAGGCGTGGACTGCGACCGCGCCACACCAACACAACGGGGTAGGGGCCGGGTGGGCATTCCGCCTCGGAGGCGGATCCGGCTCCGGGCGTGACCACCACTCTCTGTCTACCCCCCCATAGCGCCCCTGGTCTGGTCTGGCCCCGCTGGCCGGAGCTGGACTGGACACCGGTGGAGCGGATTGCTCTGGCTCCGGTGTGGAGCAGCTGACCGGTGCCGGACCAGGCACCGGTGGAACAGGCACGGACCGTGCCGGACTGACGACGCGCACCACAGGCTTGGTGCGGGGAGCAGGAACGGGCCGGACCGGGCTGGCGACGCGCACCACTGGCTTGGTGCGGGGAGCAGGAACGGGCCGGACCGGGCTGACGACGCGCACCACTGGCTTGGTGCGGGGAGCAGGAACAGGCCGGACCGGGCTGGCGACGCGCACCACAGGCTTAGTGCGGGGAGCAGGAATGGGCCGGACCGTACTGGGAACACACACCACTGGCCTTGTGCGGGAATCAGGAACGGGCCGGACCGGACTGGTGACACACACCACTTGCTTGGTGCGAGGAGCGGGACTGCGTTTCCTTCTAAACCTCCGCTCCCTCTGCTGCCTAACCAGTTCCTCTCGCCGTGCCTCTACACTCTCCCTCTCCCTCATGACCAATAGCCCCCGTAACCTGGTGGCCTCCTCTGCTAACCGGCTGAACCGCTCTATCGCGGCCTCCTGCTGCCTCGTCGTCCACGGCGTGAGCCCCCCCCTAAAAAATTATTGGGCTTGTCTCTCCCCCATGATCATAGCCTCCATCCCTCTCGCCAGACTCTCTCTCCTCTCCTCCCAAGTCCATCCTCTCTCCTCGTCACGCTGCTTGATCCAGTCGAGGTGGGATCTTCTGTCACAATCATTATGTGAAGCGGACCAAGGCGTAGCGTGATAGGCGTACATACTTTATTTAAGTGTACACAACATGAACAAAAACAATAAACAAAACGATACGTGAAGTCCTAGGTAATACAACAAACCATACGGAACAAGATCCCACAAATAACTAGTCCAAAACAGGCTGCCTAAGTATGGTCCCCAATCAGAGACAACGAGCTACAGCTGTCTCTGATTGGGAACCACCCTGGCCAACATAGATCAACACGATCTAGAAACAAAAACATAGAAAACAAAACATAGAAAATCCACACCCTGGCTCAACATATAAGAGTCCCCAGAGCCAGGGCGTGACACTAGTCTGCTATCTCTATCATGAAGGCAAGTCCTGCAAGTGAGCGAGTCCCCACTTTGCACATTTTAGAAAGTCCCTGATTTGCACTTTTAGTGAGTTCCCCCACTGCACTTCCCACCACAGAGTCTGAGCCACATGTTGGAGGTGGGCTCTTCCCTTCTCCCCTTCTCCCTTATTCCCCAGGCCTGGCAGATTACCGCAGGAGGAGCAGGCCTGGCTGGGGAGCCTGGTGCCCTTAGCCATGTGGAAGAGGGTTTGTGGAGTGGAAGAGGGTTTGTGGAGTGGAAGAGGGTTTGTGGAGTGGAAGAGGGTTTGTGGAGTGGAAGAGAGTTTGTGGCAGGGGAGAGGGGTTTGGGGCGGAGCATGGAGTGGAGTGGAGGGGGGATAAGCTGTTCAGATAGTTCAGCCTAACTCCAAAAGGGGGATAAAGGATTAGGGAGGCTCTAAAGGAAGACATCTGCTTCTGTGCCAAGCTCCATATTATCAAAGACACCAGTGTTTCCCACATCATCAACTTTTCATGAGCATACTCACTGGTAAATATCAGCAACAGAGCTCTGGGTCTCTGAAGGGGGAGAGAGGGTGGGACTTTGGCTCATTTGGAAATTCCACTTTTGCCCATTAAATTCTGATAGTCATATTAGGCATGCAGGCTTGAATTCTTTATCACATTTTCTCCCTTATTCAAACGGAGATGGAAGCACACACAGATGCTATTTTTTTGCCTACTCTGTGTGAGTAGAGGTTAATACCATTTATTTATGCTATTGATCATATTCACAAAAGGATAAATATACAAAGGACTTATACAAAGGATAAATAGTTGATAAAATAGCTCACCTTCTCTTGTGCGGCTCTCAGCTTGCTGTCCCAGACTGCTCTAATGACAGGGATGTCTTGGCTGCGGGTGGCGTAGCAGTGGGCCTGCAGCACATGGCCCAGGGTAAGGCTGCTGATCACTGCTTCCAGAACCTTCTCTACATGGCTGAAGGACAGGCAGGCTTGGGTCCTGGCTCCAGCCCTCACCAGCTGCATGGTACAAGGCACCAGGGCGATCTGGCCTGCACAGAACACTGCCTCATCCACCTGTAGAGGGGCACAGGTACCACACAATCACACGTTAGTTGAGCTGATGCTAGCCTATTTCTTGGTGTAACTATGGAACCCTGTGCCTGGTTCTCCCTAGTTCCCATTCATTCTGGTTCCTCCTGGTTCTTCCAATGGAATTGAGCCATATATGTGATTAAACAGGAACTTATACTCATACTCTGGATGGTTGTTCATATCCATTCACATTATAAACCCTGACATCAGTCTCATATATCCTGGCAGCGGCCAAACAAAGCTCTTTCCAGGGGTTCATGTTTTCCCTCTCAGTTGCCCTATAGAATGGTTGTGCTTCTGCTTGGCCATGTGGCCTGTGTACACACTCCTGGTTTCAGAGAATAAATCTCTCCTCAAAATCAATCCATCGCTTGAAACTCAATTACATACTCCCACAGAACTGGCTACTGGTCAAAGATGATAAATGCAGTCATTCTCTCAAATGGACAAATGGCTGGTGTAGACGTTGGGCTGTTCGATATAGAACTGAGGCCAACGTATTTATTTCATTTCCAAACATATACACACCTCATGGAGGACTACAATGGAAAAATATATTATTTTGTAAAGCTATAGAGTGCAAACTGCAAACACATAGACCTGATACAACTTGGATGTGAAAACAGACAAACAAAAACATTTTCTAACTACAAAGAAGTGCTGTTCATTTCCTAATCAAACTAACTTAACTCTACCTGAGTCCTGTCATAAGAACACAGTGCATACATCAGTGAGGTGTAACATCCCAAATTAACATAAATTACCAGCATATGTTTGATTAGCGTATCAATTAACAAGTTCCATATTTTTTCACGATATATCATATCACCAATAATACATATTTCACACCAGGAAGATAAGCAGGTGCCTTAGCATGCGTGAGAGCAGATACGTTCAAACGGGGGTCTGTCTGTGCTGTCTTATTCATGAGCATAATTAACCACGCGATAATAAGCTGAGATTCCCAGATAAACGGCCTGTTAGACGACAAAGTTCCTAAACTCAATACTTTAAAGCTCAAAGAAATCCATGCGATTAATGCAGAAGGACGCGTGGGGACCAATGAGACCAGTGGAGAGGTCAGGTCCCTGGACACCCATCACCCTGCTACATTAGGATACCAAAGTGTGGCCACCACGCCACTTTCTAGTCAACAGCCGCTGGTGACAGGGTGTTAATTGGTGGTCTAAGCAGGGACCTTTAGGGTCTGTGAAGACACTGACCTCCAGAGGGATCAAGGAGACCAACATCAATTGATACATGGCGTGAGAGCAGGGTCCTTAGCCGATTACCATACGTACATACATGGGTATTGTATTTCTCCCCCAGATTACCAGGGTTAAGTGTGGACCAGTGGTATTACTAAAGGCTTAGCACTTTGCCCCAACCCCCTCTTCACCTCCACTGAGTCAGTACCCTTGCTCACTTTGTTAGTAGCAAATGAGGCCAATTATCGAACCCTCAACGCCCCAAGGTTCTAGGCATTATAGTCCAATCACCTGCTAGGCTTATCTGAGATATCTAGTCCACATCAATGAGACAGGGGAAATCGCTTTTACATAAAAGTAGCCTTTATTACTTAATCAAATTACCAATGAGCAATATTTGCAGATAAAAAGCATTGCAAAGCTATGGGACGAACGCAGGATAACATGGTGCATATGTTTTGAGTTATACTGTATTTTCAGTACACATCAATGTACCATAGTGGGCATTACTACTGGACATTCAAGGGCAGTGTGATGGCTCTTTAAAATACTGCTGCAGCACACACAAAAGTTTTTTTTCACCATGACATAATCAGCAGTTTGTAGAATGGGATTTGATAATAACAGAACAACATAAAGCTCTTTGCTAGAGGGGGGATATGGCCACAGCCATTTCCATAATCATATGGGTTTCCCATGATTCCTAGCTCCTGGGTTCACTTGTCAACTTTGATGAATCTTCAGCATCTGCCTCTGCTGCTCCAAATTACCGGGACAGAGGAGGAGACGAGAGAGCGGACGTAAGGGAGGAGAGGAGGGGAGGGGGATGGAGGGGTGGAGGCCTCCCTTCTTTAAAACGGTCGGATCAATCACCGGATAATTTACCTGCGAGCACTATCTGTCGAAGCGCGAACCATACATCTACGTCTGGTCTGCAGCGTAACATAAAAGCCTGAGTTGCTCGAGACGTCAACAACAAATCGTCATTGGCATTCCATTTATGAGCCATCAAGTGCCATCATATCTCCTCCATCTGAGGAGCCTTGATAAGGTCGGACGGGTGGCGAGGACCTCGTAACAAGCCATAAAAAAAGCTCCCCATTTTGACTTCCAAAAAAGGAGGGCTACCATTTGTTGATTTGAATATCAAAAGAGGCCAGCGCATGCCCCCTTCACTGTTAAAGACAAACTCCCCATAGCTTCCACCAAGCAGGTGGGTGATGATCAATTATTAAGGCTCCAGCTCAGGTTTCTACTGGCGCTGGTGGAAAGGAGGGGGTTAACGGGGGATCGGCTTTTCACGGCGAACCTGAGAGTGGAGGAAAAAGGGAAAAAGGGAAGTGAATACTATTTACATAAAATTAACAGTTCAAAAGAATGAGTTCACACACCAATCAAACTTGTTAATTGACTGTCAATGGTGTCCCTGAATATACAACACAGCTACATTATTTATCTTCTGCGTTGACAGGGAAGACAGTCCAATTTGCATGGGCGTCCTAAACGTGATCAACAAGCACAATGCCACATGCATTTTTAATAGGCCAGAGATGAGCCCGTTAAAATATTCATAAGGGTCAAACAATTGCATATTACATTAAACTTCCTATAACAAGTAAAGTATTTTTCAAACGGTAACCTTAGGAGTCTAAATGGCCCAGAGAGAAAAGGAAGGACATGCGGTATTAAATATTTCACTGTAAAATCAATAGTAAGGCATGTTCACGGTGAATGGTATATCTAGCCTCCACTCCCTCTCACTGCAATTGCAGATATCCTGACCCTAAACGCTAAAAGGTACAATGTAGCTTATGTTTTTCAATCTTATATTTCAATTGTTTACTGTCTAACTGAAAATGCATTTTTAGTTCTTGTGCAAGCCGAGTTTTAAATATTGTACCTCAGGGTTACAAAATCTATTAGTTTGACTTAACACTAAATGTGTCTCAGACCTTATTTCCCCAACGATCCCTACAAGCTACACAAACTTCCTCTCTTCGAGACGTCTGAGGCAATCGCGGCACACGCTGCCTGCTTAGCATTAATTAAATCTGTGTTTTGGCTTCATGCTTTATCAACCTTTATTTCATGGCTTAAACACCATTATTTTTCATAAACCCAATGACGTGTCAAAAGGTCACTGAGCCCTAAGGATCCAGACAGTAACACGTATGTAAATGCTGGAACACTGGAACACTAGAACCGGTTGCATGGATGAATCCATCCGCTCTCAAGCCTTAACTGCTTCTTGTAACACGCATAGCGTGACTGAGGCCTTCTTAATTGTCGTGTTTGTTCGAAACCTCCAAGGCATGAACAGGCTAGGGTGCTAGGCTATATTTGCATTGGTGTTGTAAAGTAACTATTTGGACTCAATTCTGCTGAATGAGCGTCTGACTCTGTCACCAACCAGACTGGGCCAGTGTGGGTAAAGTGACCTGGTATTGATGAACAGTCAGGTTCTCCCCCTGGTCCAAGGACAGCGTGAGGGGGAACAGCCCCATGGCCCTCTGATCAGATATGCTAATGGTCACATCCTTCCATTGAGCCCTCATGCATAATTTAACCAAGGGAATGATAATATAAATGTACAAAATGAATCAAATTAATATGGCATAACTTTTGGCTAACGCAGGAAGGAAACACATAACACAAAATGAAAGGGTAAACAGTGTATGACTAAATGCAGCATAATGTGAGTAAATATTTGTAACAGAATTATGTTTGCTTCTCAATCTTTTAAGCATTGTTAACAGTGGATCCACAGTAAATGGGTAAATGTAGTACTTTGGACTGAAGGCAGGGGGGATATTGAATGACTCAATCACTAGAACACTGGAGCAAGACATGTCATAACACCTATCAAACTGTATTAGAACGAATCACCCTTCTAAACCTCACACTCTCATAGTATATAAAGGAACATGCTTTATTTCATGCCACAAAATTCTTAATCTCTTTCCTGTTTTTTCTTCTTTCTTGAATATTTAAAGATTGGCAAATAGTTGTAAATGTGCAGATCAAGGAAGAAGTTTATTCCGCGCATTTAAGTGCATATATTATTTCTGCTTTTTGGATTTGATACGGAATAACTGTTTAATCCTTTCGCGGTGGATGTCAGTTTGTCAGGTCTGTGTGCTGAGATTCCATCTTGAACTGGCTTCAAGTCTGTGGGGTTCTTTCAGCATTAGTACATTCAAAGCGCATCACGTCTCCGAATAAGAAACGATAAGAGATGGCCTCATGTTGTGCTACGCCCCGAGGAGATTCTGGGGCTTCTGACACCTCATTTATAGAAATATAAAATGTTCAGGAGAACCAAAACCTTTCTCCCCTTCTCTTGTATGTTTCACCATGTTAGTCTCTCTTAATTAAGGCTTCTTCTGAAAGAAAACAAAATTGTATTTTTAAAATTTCATCCTCTTATTAATCCTCCATGTCTATTTTTTCAGTTTGTGCTCTAGTTTGAGCCTAACCCTTGTATGCTCAACTGTCACACAACATCAGTGTTACTTAAACGGCGACATAAATAGCCGAACGAAACTCACAAAGAAAGGCAAATATGGGGGACCTCTCAAGCATCCTCTCTGGTCCAGAACTGCATATGGAGACAAAAAAGACCTACGGACATATGTTCAAAATAGAATAGTTATTACCAGAACAAATATTAGAAAAAGAAAAATAATCAGGAATCGTGAAAAGACACTATAAAGACAAAACGTGACATTGGCCCCTCTCTCGCTTTCACAATGCCGTTTCCATTCTGCCTGCCTGTCTGCCCTAGACATGCCCGTTCCAGAGATGCCCGCATGGAGAAGTAACACTGTCACGTCGGCTCTGGTCAACTTTATGCTGATTACTGGTCTGTCTGTAGCCTAGGCAGCGTTGGGGAGTATTATCAAGGTCAGAAGGGACTGCTTTATGTTATTGTGGGAGACACCGTCCTCACGCGCATCCACACGCCACAATACAGGAGCAAATAAATAAATCATTTAGAATTTGACAATTTCTGTTGACAAAAATAAATATATTCAAATTGACTTATTGCTGTGTTTTATCTTAAATGTACTTCAACCCCAATATTTTTTAAAATAAAATCTAAAGTAAAAAATCTTGTCAAATATAAAAAGTCAAACTGATAAAGGTACATGTTGATGAAGAGTGTGGTAACACATTGTAGCCCAGACCATCAGTGTTGTGTGTGCTGAAGTGATAGAAGAGCATGTTTTCTCTTTGCGTTAAGGCAAAATGCCCTGGTGCCTTCAACTGTCCCGACCTCAGATTTCTTTGACAAATTGGTTGTGAGTCTTTTACGACTGATGCACATATCTCAAAAATCATTTCTGCCAAGCTTCTTCTATGACCTGCCCGTGGGACATGACAAGCTCCTCGATGCATCGCTCTATCAAACCGGATCATTCCAGGACAATGCAAATTATGACAAATTCCATCATCCCGCATTATGCGCTTTCCCGCTAATCTCCCTAATTCGAGAGAATCGGGAGGGTTTCGCTGTTTCAGCTGAGGGGCATGTTTGTCTGATTGAATGATGTTGAAACTGCAACCCTCAACCCCTGTTCATTCTCCCTTTCCAGCTGTGACCACCTCTTTCAGTCAGACATTCTTTATTTTTTTTACAGAGTGGCTTTATTTACCTTTCATTCACAGTCAAAAGCAAAGACTAGACCGGTCAACTCCTAACCTGTGCACACCTGAAATCAAGACTCAAATGTAATCTTATATCTGGAAAATCTCAAAACAAATGTAAACCCTATCTCTTGGCTGGTTTTATTTGGAAAAATATCAGTCAGTTCTATGTATGTCATTTATGTGTGTTGTTGTTGTTGTTGTGTGTGTGTGTGTGTGTGTGTGTGTGTGTATGTGTGTGTGTGTAGGGGGGGTGATGTCCGCTCTGTCTCCCCCATGACTAGTGATGACACGTCAGGTTGTCACATTGGTAAAGGCGCTGGTCTGAAGAGGCAGAGAGGCCAGTCCTACTGCATCGCCTTGTCCAGCCATCATATACAGTAGCAGATAGGGTCCAGCCACTCGGACAGACACACCAAGGTTACACTAAAGGACCTCTACTTAAAGCGAGTGGACAACCTGCAGTACAGTACACATCTATACAAATACAGGCAAGAGGAACAAAAGACCAACAGAGAGAGGCAGAGAGAATGTCCCAGTGAGGATTGGTAGTGGTAGTTCCCTTTCCTTTCAAGAGATGGCAGTATGACTGCATGGAAAAGGCTGTGGTCGTAGGGGAATGTGGCTAAGCATTCTCAACGCAGTACATACAGTAGGCCTACACTTTATACAGTGTGTATGGCCAGATATATTCTACCTCTTCTCAGATGTGTTATGGACAACAACAAAATGTTTTCACAGATAAAAAGGAAATCCCATACAAGTCAAGGAAAGGTGGATTAAGGTCAATGGAATTTGTCAGTTAAAAAGGAAAAAAAGAATCTGGAAAAGATTTGGATGGTTTTTATGTTGTTCAAAATGCTCTGTATCAATATTTCTTGCAGTTACAACTTCAGGATCTGATTAAATGGTTCAGCTCAATTTTGGTTCATATTTGGAAAATAGTGTCAAACTTGTTCCTCTATACTTCTTGGCTTTATAGAATAGATTTAATTGAATAGATACTGTATCCACTAGCTATATTATTTAGTCTATAAAATGCTAGTTATTTTGAAATTCAAGCTGTTGATAATGTATAGAAGAAAACATTTAATTACCAAGTTTTTACTTTAAAATCAAACAATTACTGTATAAAAATGGGTGTAAATTACAAAATGTAAAACACTATATTTTTACTTTTTCTCTTTCCCCCTAAAAGCCCAAAATGTCCTGTAGCCTCACTAACATTCATAGCATCTGACAGATACTTACATAATAAATCCAACCATATCAATAATACATCTGGAAATAGACGAACATGGTTATATGTCCAAAGTAATGCAGCGCTTGCTTAAAACAGGAAATTGTCTATAATTCATCCACATCACTTTTCCCTCTGTAAAGTGTACTTAAATGGCAATGGCTGTTGAAAATTAAATGACCCAGGTAAAAACGTACCGTGCCTTCGTACCTTACCCACCACCTCAACGTGAAATTAATGAAAAGGTGAGTGTCCAGAAGTAAAGGGACATAAATACTAACCTTTCCCTGAGCCATCCATTTGAATGCTATTTAAAAAATAACATCACCTTAATAAATGAAGACAAAACTGCGATGCTCATCCACTGTCGTACGATGACGACAACCTAACAATCATTTTTCACCGGAAGCACTTACTGTCACTTTGAATATAGTAGGAATACAGAATTAAATATAGCAGCAACGCAGTCATAGAAAGTCTAAAAATAACCAATACCACCAAAATACACAGTTCATAAAACAGTGGTGTAAAGTCAGTAGTAGCATTCTTGAACTCACTTGAACTCCCACACTAAGCAGTATATTAACCTCAAGGTGATGATTCTTGTTACTAAGGCACATTACTACTGTGCTCTTTCTGTTTATGCATGATGTATCCCTTTAACTCTCTGTCAGCACCATCTCTATTCAGTATAACCATATAGCTACTATACTGTATGTAGGCACCCACCTTGTAGTGAGTGTGCTCCTGTCTGTGTTTACCAACCTCTATACTTCAGAAGGAGCATTTTTTTCGTCTGTCTGTCTGTCTGTCTGTCTGTCTGTCTGTCTGTCTGTCTGTCTGTCTGTCTGTCTGTCTGTCTGTCTGTCTGTCTGTCTGTCTGTCTGTCTGTCTCTCTCTCTCTCTCTCTCTCTGTGTATGTGTGTGTGTGTGTGTGTGTGTGTGTGTGTGTGTGCTCTCACTCCAATCCTGTCAGCAATGCCCACTCGACACTGCAGGGGGGAAAAACACACCCGGGCATCACTGAATATAGTGGCTAGTTACCATAGTAATAGAATGGTCATACATCTCCCATTCCTCAGACAGTGATGGGACTGGACAGCACTGGCCGTTTATTGTTTTTCTGTATGCCTTTAGTATTCTGTTATTTATACCGCACAATAAAACAGAGCCACTCCCATTTTACAATGTTAAAAAAGGGGACAATTTTCTGGTGAAATTTCATACCAAAGAAAAACAATATTTGGAACATATATTGACATAGTGTTTGTGATTGGATGGTAAAATGGATTGAGGGTTTTAATATGCATCTCTGGCTTTGACATTGTTACGTGGCACTAATCAAATATATTTTGTGACATGGCTGGTCTATTCCTTAATCTCCTCCTTTAGACTGATCAACAGTGACAAAGCTAAGAGTAAACAGACTCTCTCTCTCTCTCACACACACTTCTGCATGTCGCTTATTCACTCACTCCTACAGACATTAAAGCCCTTCAATTAATCTGTCAAATCACATCCATACATCCTGAGTCCTGACAGTGAAATATTTGTATTCATTTGGTTTTCCCCTAATATTCATCCACTGAAAGGTCCATTCAATTCAATTGAGTTTATAAGGAGATAGAAATAAAGATCAGTAATTGTGTTCACTTCTCTAAGCCAATAACAAACACTAGCGACATGGTTTCACTGACTATACCAGGGGAGTGGGAAAGAGGCCACCCACTACAGAAGAGAAAGCATCTCTGATCTCCAGTGACTGGCTGGGTGTGTAAAGGTCACTGCACTGGGGCATGTGGCTAGAGTCTGTGTGTGCGCGTGTGGAGGCCTATGCCTGTGTTCATACAGTGTGTGTGTGTGTGAGTGTGGTGTACGTGTGTGCCTGCGATGGTGGTTGCTATCCTGTCCCTCCTTTCCGCGGCTTGTTTACATGAACCAAGGCAGTCAGACACCAATAATACATGAAGAGTTGTTCATAGCCAATTAGGATCAGTTGTCAAGGCAGGACCCATTAATGAAGGCCTGTGTGTGTGTGGGTGTTTCTGTGTCTGTGTGTGTGTGTGTGTTTGTGTGTCACCGGTAGAGAAAGGAGGGCGACAGTGGCCCAGCGCAGTGAGAGCCCAATGCACTGTGACAGATCCAGTCCTTCCCATGTCCTGGGCCGGTATAAGCTAATACCAGCCTCCCAAAGCCACGTGGCTGAGGCAGGGCTGGAGTGGGCTGGGGTAGTGCTGCCTGCCTAACACAGCCTCTGCTTCCTGAAAATGACTGCTGCCACTGACACTCAGCCTCCATGGGATCACAGCAGGGAGAGGAGGGGTGTGTGTGTGTGTGTGTGTGTGTGTGTGTGATGGTCTGATGGTGAGGGCGGCAGGTAGCTTAGAGGGTAAGAGCGTTGTGCCAGTAACCGAAAGGTCGCTGGTTCTAATCCCCGAGCCGACTAGGTGAAAAATCTTTCGATGTGCCCTTAAGCAAGGCACTTAACCCTAATTGCTCCTGTAAGTCGCTCTGGATAAGAGCGTCTGCTAAATGGTGGGGGGATAAATAATGACCCCATCTCAGTCCCATCCATCTCAGTCCCACCCACTTCGCACACTCTTGGCATTCTCTCAACCAGTCACCTGGAATGCATTTCAATTAACAGGTGTGCCTTCTTAAAAGTTAATTTGTGGAATTTATTTCCTTCTTAATGCGTTTGAGCCAATCAGTTGTGTTGTGACAAGATAGGGGGGTATACAGAAGATAGCCCTATTTGGTAAAAGACCAAGTCCATATTATGGCAAGAACAGCTCAAATAAGCAAAGAGAAACAACAGTCCATCATTACTTTAAGAAATGAAGGTCAGTCAATACGGAACATTTCAAGAACTTTGAAAGTTTCTTCAAGTGCAGTTGCAAAAACCATTAAGCACTATGATGAAACTGGCTATCATGAGGACCGCCACAGGAATGGAAGACCCAGAATTACCTCTGCTGCAGAGGATAAGTTCATTAGAGTTACCAGCCTCAGAAATTGCAGCCCAAATAAATGCTTCCCCGAGTTCAAGTAACAGACACATCTCAACATCAAATGTTCAGAGGAGACTGTGTGAATCAGGCCTTCATGGTCGAATTGCTGCAAAGAAACGACTACTAAAGGACACCAATAAGAAGAAGAGACTTGCTCGGGCCAAGAAACACGAGCAATGGACATTAGACCGGTGGACATTTGTCCTTTGGTCCAGAGTCCAAATTGGAGATTTTTGGTTCCAACCGCCGTGGCTTTGTGACACGCGGTGTGGTCCTCTGTAGCTCAATTGGTAGAGCATGGCGCTTGTAATGCCAGGGTAGTGGGTTCGATCCCCGGGACCACCCATACGTGAAAATGTATGCACACATGACTGTAAGTCGCTTTGGATAAAAGCGTCTGCTAAACGCCATATTATTATTATTATTATTATTATCTCCGCATGTGTATTTCCCACAGTAAAGCATGGAGGAGGAGGTGTTATGGAGTGGGGGTACTTTGCTGGTGACACTGTCTGTGATTTATTTAGAATTTAAGGCACACTTAACCAGCATGGCTACCACAGCATTCCGCAGCCACGGCGGCCATCCCATCTTGTTTGGGCTTAGTGGGACTATCATTTGTTTTTGAACAGGACAATGACCCAACACACCTCCAGGCTGTGTAAGGGCTATTTGACCAAGAAGGAGAGTGATGGAGTGCTGGATCAGATGACCTGGCCTCCACAATCCCCCGACCTCAACCCAATTGAGATGGTTTGGGATGAGTCGGACCGCAGAGTGAAGGAAAAGCAGCCAACAAGTGCTCAGCATATGTGGGAACTCTTTCAAGACTGTTGGAAAAGCATTCCAGGTGAAGCTGGTTGAGAGAATGCCAAGAGTGTGCAAAGCTGTCATCAAGGCAAAGGGTGGCTAATATAAGAATCTCAAATATAAAATATTTTATGATTTATTTAACACTTTTTTGGTTACTACATGATTCCATATGTGTTATTTCATAGTTTTGATGTCTTCATTATTATTCTACAATGTAGAAAATACACTGCTCAAAAAAATTAAGGGAACACTAAAATAACACATCCTAGATCTGAATGAATGAAATAATCTTATTAAATACTTTTTTCTTTACATAGTTGAATGTGCTGACAACAAAATCACACAAAAATTATCAATGGAAATCAAATTTATCAACCCATGGAGGTCTGGATTTGGAGTCACACTCAAAATTAAAGTGGAAAACCACACTACAGGCTGATCCAACTTTGATGTAATGTCCTTAAAACAAGTCAAAATGAGGCTCAGTAGTGTGTGTGGCCTCCACGTGCCTGTATGACCTCCCTACAACGCCTGGGCATGCTCCTGATGAGGTGGCGGATGGTCTCCTGAGGGATCTCCTCCCAGACCTGGACTAAAGCATCCGCCAACTCCTGGACAGTCTGTGGTGCAACGTGGCGTTGGTGGATGGAGCGAGACATGATGTCCCAGATGTGCTCAATTGGATTCAGGTCTGGGGAACGGGTGGGCCAGTCCATAGCATCAATGCCTTCCTCTTGCAGGAACTGCTGACACACTCCAGCCACATGAGGTCTAGCATTGTCTTGCATTAGGAGGAACCCAGGGCCAACCGCACCAGCATATGGTCTCACAAGGGGTCTGAGGATCTCATCTCGGTACCTAATGGTAGTCAGGCTACCTCTGGCGAGCACATGGAGGGCTGTGCGGGCCCCCAAAGAAATGCCACCCCACACCATAACTGACCCACCGCCAAACCGGTCATGCTGGAGGATACTGCAGGCAGCAGAACGTTCTCCACGGCGTCTCCAGACTCTGTCACGTCTGTCACGTGCTCAGTGTGAACCTGCTTTCATCTCTGAAGAGCACAGGGTGCCAGTGGTGAATTTGCCAATCTTGGTGTTCTCTGGCAAATGCCAAACATCCTGCACGGTGTTGGGCTGTAAGCACAACCCCCACCTGTGGACGTCGGGCCCTCATACCACCCTCATGGAGTCTGTTTCTGACCGTTTGAGCAGACACATGCACATTTGTGGCCTGCTGGAGGTCATTTTGCAGGGCTCTGGCAGTGCTCCTCCTGCTCCTCCTTGCACAAAGGCGGAGGTAGCGGTCCTGCTGCTGGGTTGTTGCCCTCCTACGGCCTCCTCCACGTTTCCTGATGTACTGGCCTGTCTCCTGGTAGCGCCTCCATGCTCTGGACACTACGCTGACAGACACAGCAAACCTTCTTGCCACAGCTCGCATTGATGTGCCATCCTGGATGAGCTGCACTACCTGAGCCACTTGTGTGGGTTGTAGACTCCGTCTCATGCTACCACTAGAGTGAAAGCACCGCCAGCATTCAAAAGTGACCAAAACATCAGCCAGGAAGCATAGGAACTGAGAAGTGGTCTGTGGTCACCACCTGCAAAACCAGTCCTTTATTGGGGGTGTCTTGCTAATTGCCTATAATTTCCACCTGTTGTCTATTCCATTTGCACAACAGCATGTGAAATTTATTGTCAATCAGTGTTGCTTCCTAAGTGGACAGTTTCATTTCACAGAAGTGTGATTGACTTGGAGTTACATTGTGTTGTTTAAGTGTTCCCTTAATTTTTTTGAGCAGTGTAGTAAAAATAAAGAAAAACCCTTGAATGAGTAGGTGTGTCCAAACCTTTGACTGGTACTGTACAAAATGGTCATTCTTTACTGTTATCTAATGTTTTTTTCTCAATGATTCTGGTGTTTTTTATGCTCAAAATCTAAAGAATTGCTGAAACTGCATCAAAACCTTGCTAAGGTATTAATACGTTCCTTTTCAGCTTGAAGTAGCTTCATTCCTTGCATTGAGACGATTTCATATTTTTTTTTCCATCACAGGAGGTTGCTGAGGGGAGAACGGCCCATAATAATGTCTGGAACGGAGCAGAATGGAATGGCATCAAACACCTGGAAACCATGTGTTTGATGTATTTGATACCATTCCACTGATTCCGCTCCAGTCATTACCACGAGCCCATTCTCCCCAAATAAGGTGCCACCAACCTCCTGTGTTGTGCATGCATATTGCCTTAATATGTTGGGTATTGACTGGGGTAAGCTGTGTACATTTGGCCGTGTCTACATAATTTGGCGCTCGCATCCCTTGAACTGAACCAACTCGAAGCTAGCTAGCAAAAACAACCTGACAACCTGACAAATGGTCCTCTGTAGCTCAATTGGTAGAGCATGGCGCTTGTAACGCCAGGGTAGTGGGTTCGATCCCCGGGACCACCCATACGTAAAAATGTATGCACACATGACTGTAAGTCGCTTTGGATAAAAGTGTCTGCTAAATGGCAAATTATATTAAATGGACACCATACTTCACCTCAAACAATTCTAGCTGTCGGGCAGACGAACAGTGAGTACCGGACTGTCCACTTGTCTGAAATGTAATTACCAATTAATACTTTTTACGCAGACTTTTCAACATCTTGGACAATTACTGTTGCTTTGTGGGCGGAATGGGAATTACTTTTTGTGTCAGTGCAAAAATGGAACCGAAGGAGGCCTTGGGGATGTGTCTTCCACACGGCTGTGTGCATGCAGAATAGAGGTTCACCAGACGAATGGACTTAATTTACAAGTAAAGATAGGGTTAAATGCATTTTTTTGTAGGGCTACTGTTTAATCATGAGAATATATTACATCCCTTTGAATGCTTTTGATTTATCAAGCTAGAATTTAGTTTTGATTAGACACTTTTTTGATGTTTTGAACTGCATTCAGTCATTTCGATTGTTGATATGGAAATGTAATTAGAACCTTATTTATTATATATGTGTGTAATAATATTTCACATACGTGCGCCATGTATTGGAAGAATTGTAAATCCATTGTGAAAGGCTAAGTTTGTGTTTCAAATTATTCGGATGAAATGTGGTCTTATAGCGCCACCTATCAGTTGGAACTGTGGATGCTACATACGTCTATGGCTGAGCTGAGATGAGCAGTGTGTCATTTTGTCGGATAATATGAAGTATGTCGCCACTGGAGGCTATCACTTCTGTATCTTGGCTACATTGGTTTTTATATTTGGTGAAAATTGTTTGTCAATTTCGGTTAATAGCCTATGTCACTCTGGTTGTTGGAGCTCTCTGTTGCATGGTGAACTTGGGCTTCATCAAGGTTTACTTGTGAGTAAATCTGGCTTTGATAATAGCCAGTGTCTACCCAGCCACCGACCTCACTGCACGTCACTGCTTCACATATACACACAAATACTCATCCATGCGCACACAAATATACACAGACGCCCAACCCCCGCCCTCTGATTCCACCACTGTCCTCATCACAGAGACCACGTCTAGAGCAGAGACCATGTGTCAGGGCAAATATCTGTCTCCTTAAATGGGCTTGTTTTAGGGAAGAGGAGGGTAAGGAGGGGGTGGAGACCCTGTTGTTGTTCTCCACTTAAATCTACCAGACCCCCAGTGCAGTGTGTGGTGGTTGTAATTTTAGCCAGCCAGCTACTGGGACAGGACAGTTACCTCAGCCACTCTGGTGACTCACAGAGGGACAGAGACGTATGGAGGCTCAGTCACTCTCACTAGAGGCCTAAGTGCCCCATAATGTGTGTGTGTGTGTGTGTGTGCAAGCGCGCATGCATGTTCATTTCTGTGTGTAACTATCTGTTTTGAACACAGTGTACTTGTCCTGTCAGTCATCTATGAGAACCATGGCTAGTCATAGGTGAATCATTATTAGGCCTATGCCTGACCCTGTATAGGTGAGTGTATGTGTAATTCTAGGCCCTGGGGCATACCACTGACATGCCATTCAGGTAAGGCCTTATCAGGTATGAAAGGTGAGTGGTGTGTTTGTCAAGCTCAAGTGTGTACAGTTGATCCCAACGTTTGGGCAAGATGAGTAAGGTCTGAGTGAGTCCGTATAGACAGACGTACAGTGCATTTGGAAAGTAGTAAGACCTCTTGATTTTTTACAGCCATATTCTAAAATGGATGAAATTATCAAATCTACACACAATACCCTGTAATGACAAAGTGAAAACAGAAATACCTTATTTACATAAGTATTCAGACCCTTTGCTATGAGACTCGAAATTGAGCTCAGGTGCATCCTGTTTCCACTGATCATCCTTGAGATGTTTCTACAACTTGATTGGAGTCTACCTGTGGTAAATTCAACTGATTGGACTTATTTTTTAATGTTTTTATTTAACCAGGTAAGCCAGTTGAGAACAAGTTCTCATTTACAACTGCGACCTGGCCAAGATAAAGCAAAGCAGTGCGATAAAAACAACAACACAGAGTTACATATGGGATAAACAAAACGTACAGTCAATAACACAATAGAAAATCTATATACAGTGTGTGCAAATGTAGTAAGTTATGGAGGTAAGGCAATAAATAGGCCATAGTGCAAAATAATTACAATTTAGTATTAACGCTGGAGTGACAGATGTGCAGAAGACGATGTGCGAAATAAATAACAATATGGGGATGAGGTAGTTGGGTGGGCTAATTACAGATGGGCTGTGTACAGGTGCAGTGATTGGTAATCTGCTCTGACAACTGATGCTTAAAGTTAGTGAGGGAGATAAGAGTCTCCAGCTTCAGAGATTTTTGCAGTTCGTTCCAGTCATTGGCAGCAGAGAACTGGAAGGAATGGCGGCCAAAGGAGGTGTTGGCTTTGGGGATGACCAGTGAGATATACCTGCTGGAACGCATACTACGGGTGGGTGTTGCTATGGTGACCAATGAGCTAAGATAAGGCAGGGATTTGCCTAGCAGTGATTTATAGATTACCTGGAGCCAGTGGGTTTGGCGACGAATATGTAGTGAGGGCCAGCCAACGAGAGCGTACAGGTCACAATGGTGGGTAGTATATGGGGCTTTGGTGACAAAACGGATGGCACTGTGATAGACTACATCCAATTAGCTGATTAGAGTGTTGGAGGCTATTTTGTAAATGACATCGCCGAAGTCAAGGATCGGTAGGATAGTCAGTTTTAAGAGGGCATGTTTGGCAGCATGAGTGAAGGAGGCTTTGTTGCGAAATAGGAAGCCGATTCTAGATTTAACTTTGGATTGGAGATGCTTCATGTGAGTCTGGAAGGAGAGTTTACGGTCTAACCAGACACCTAGGTATTTGTAGTTGTCCACATATTCTAAGTCAGACCCGCCGAGAGTAGTGATTCTAGTTGGGCGGGCGGGTGCAAGCAGCATTCGATTGAAGAGCATGCATTTAGTTTTACTAGCGTTTAAGAGCAGATGGAGGCTACGGAAGGAGTGTTGTATGGCATTGAAGCTCGTTTGGAGGTTTGTTAACACAGTGTCCAATGAAGGGCCAGATGTATACAAAATGGTGTCGTCTGCGTAGAGGTGGATCTGAGAGTCACCAGCAGCAAGAGCGACATTATTGATATACACAGAGAAGAGTCGGCCAGAGAATTGAACCCTGTGGCACCCCCATAGGGCCTCCGATTTGACACATTGAACTCTATCTGAGAAGTAGTTGGTGAACCAGGCGAGGCAGTCATTTGAAAAACCAAGGCTATTTAGTCTGCCAATAAGAATGCGGTGATTGACAGAGTCGAAAGCCTTGGCCAGGTCGATGAAGACGGCTGCACAGTACTGTCTTTTATCGATCGCGGTTATAATATCGTTTAGGACCTTGAGTGTGGCTGAGGTGCACCCATGACCAGCTCGGAAACCAGATTGCATAGCGGAGAAGGTACGGTGGGATTCGAAATGGTCGGTGATCTGTTTGTTAACTTGGCTTTCAAATACTTTCAAAAGGCAGGGCAGGACGGATATAGGTCTGTAGCAGTTTGAATCTAGAGTGTCACCCCCTTTGAAGAGGGGGATGACCGCGGCAGCTTTCCAATCTCTGGGGATCTCAGACGATACGAAAGAGAGATTGAACAGGCTAGTAAATAGGGGTTGCGACAATTTCGGCGGCTAATTTTAGAAAGAAAGGGTCCAGATTGTCTAGCCCAGCTGATTTGTAGGGATCCAGATTTTGCAGCTCTTTCAGAACATCAGCTGTCTGAATTTGGGTGAAGGAGAAGCTGGGGGGGGGGGGGGCATAGGCAAGTTGCAACGGAGGGTGCAGAGCTGGTGGCCGGGTAGGGGTAGCCAGGTGGAAAGCATGGCCAGCCGTAGCAAAATGCTTGTTGAAATTCTCGATTATCGTAGATTTATCGGTGGTGACAATGTTTCCTAGCCTCAGTGCAGTGGGCAGCTGGGAGGAGGTGCTCTTATTCTCCATGGACTTTACAGTGTCCCAAAACTTTTTGGAGTTAGTGCTACAGGATGCAAATTTCTGTTTGAAAAGCTAGCCTTTGCTTTCCTAACTGATTGTGTATATTGGTTCCTGACTTCCCTGAAAAGTTGCATATCGCAGGGGCTGTTCGATGCTAATGCAGTACGCCACAGGATGTTTTTGTGCTGGTCAAGGGCAGTCAAGTCTGGGGTGAACCAGGGGCTATATCTGTTCTTAGTTCTGCATTTTATGAATGGGCCATGCTTATTTAAGATGGAGAGGAAGGCACTTTTAAAGAACAACCAGGCATCCTCTACTGATGGAATGAGGTCATTATCCATCCAGGATACCCGGGCCAGGTCAATTAGAAAGGCCTGCTCGCTGAAGTGTTTTAGGGAGCGTTTGACAGTGATGAGGGGTGGTCGTTTGACCACAGACCCATTACGGACACAGGCAATGAGGCAGTGATCGCTGAGATCCTGGTATATTTAGAGAATAAATTAGTCAGGATGATATCTATGAGGGTGCCCATGTTTACGGATTTAGGGTTGTACCTGGTAGGTTCCTTGATAATTTGTGTGAGATTGAGGGCATCTAGTTTAGATTGTAGGACGGCCGGGGTGTTAAGCATATCCCAGTTTAGGTCACCAAGCAGTACGAACTCTGAGGATAGATGGGGGGCAATCAATTCACATATGGTGTCCAGGGCACAACTGGGGGCTGAGGGGGGTCTGTAGCAAGTGGCAACAGTGAGAGACTTATTTCTGGAAAGGTGGATTTTTAGAAGTAGAAGCTCAAACTGTTTGGGCACAGACCTGGATACTATGATAGAGCTCTGCAGGCTATCTCTACAGTAGATTGCAACTCCGCCCCCTTTGGCAGTTCTATCTAGACGGAAAATGCTGTAGATGTAGTTGACATTTTGGTGGCCTTCCTAAGCCAGGATTCAGACACTGCTAGAACATCAGGATTGGCGGAGTGTGCTAACGCAGTGAATAACTCAAACTTAGGGAGGAGGCTTCTGATGTTAACATGCAAGAAACCAAGGCTTTTACGGTTACAGAAGTCAACAAATGATAGCGCCTGGGGAGTAGGAGTGATACTGGGGGCTACAGGGCCTGGGTTAACCTCTATATCACCAGAGGAACAGAGGAGGAATAGAATAAGGATATGGCTAAAGGCTTTAAGAACTGGTCTTCTGGTGCGTTGGGTACAGAGAATAAAAGGGCAGATTTCCGGGCGTTGTAGAATAGATTCAGAGCATTATGTACAGACAAGGATATGGAAGGATATGAGTACAGTGGAGGTAAACCTAAGCGTTGGGTAACGATGAAAGAGATAGCATCACTGGAGGCCCCGATTGAGCCGGTCTCCGCGTGTATGGGGGTGGGACAAAGGAGCTATCTGAGGCAGGTTGAGTAGGACTGGGGGCTCTACAGTGAAATAGTACAATAAGAACTAACCGAAACAGCAATAGGCAAGGCATACTGACATGGGAGCGAGGCATAAAGCAATCACAGGTGTTATTCGAGAGAGCTAAGACAACAGCTGGTAACGGTGACGAAAGTTTGGGCTGAGGCTAAACAGATAAACAGGATGGGGTACCGTATAAAGGAACAGTCCAGCAGGCATCAGCTGTATAGCTGAGTGATCATAAGGTCCAGTGAACAGCAATAGGTGAGTCCGGGAGCAGTTCGGTGGCTGCTACGGCACAGGCGAGCAGGAGGCACGGATGTTGATTGCGTGTGCTAGCGGGCCGTGGCTAGCAGATGGATCTTCGTGGTCGTCGCTACAGGAAGCCTGTTGAAACCACATCAGATGATTACATCGGCAGACCAGTCGTGATGGATCGGCGGGGCTCCGTGTCAACACTAGGAGGTCCCGTACGGTTGACAGAGAGGTAGATAGCCGGGAGATGGGCCTGGCTCGAGGCTAGCTCAAGGCTAACTGATGCTTGGTTCGGGACAGTGGTGATTAGCCAACAACAACAACAGCCATTCGGTTGCAGCTGATTTGATTTGGAGCATGATTTGGAAAGGCACACACCTGTCTATATAAGGTTCCACAGTTGACAGTGTATGTCAGAGCAAAAACCAAGTCATGAGGTTGAAGGAATTGTCTGTAGAGCTCCGAGACAGGCTTGTGTCGAGGCACAGATCTGGGGAAGGGTACCAAAACATTTCTGCAGCATTGAAGGTCCCCAACAACACAGTGGCCTCCATCATTCTTAAACGGAATACGTTTTGAACCACCATGACTCTTCCTAGAGCTGGCCGCCCAGCCAAACTGAGCAATCGGGGGAGAATGACCTTGGTCAGGGAGGTGACCAATAACCCGATGGTCACTCTGACAGAGCTCCAGAGTTCCTCTGTGGAGATGGGAGAACCTTCCATAAGGACAACCATTTCTGGAGCACTCCACCAATCAGGCCTTTATGGTAGAGTGGCCAGACGGAAGTCACTCCTCAGTAAAAGGCACATGACAGCCCGCTTGGAGTTTGCCAAAAGGCACCTAAAGGATAGACCATGAGAAACAAGATTCTCTTGTCTGCTGAAACCAAGATTGAACTCTTTGGCCTGAATGACAAGCGTCTCGTCTGGTGGAAACCTGGCACCATCCCTAAGGTGAAGCATGGTGGTGGCAGCATCATGCTGTGGGGATGTTTATCAGCGGCAGGGACTGGGAGACTAGTCAGGATCGAGGGAAAGATCAACGGAGCAAAGTACAGAGAGATCCTTGATGAAAACCTGCTCCAGAGCGCTCAGGACCTCAGACAGGGGTGAAGGTTCACCTGCCAACAGGACAACGACCCTAAGCACACAGCTAAGACAACGCAGGAGTGGCTTCTGGACAAGTCTCTGAATGTCCTTGAGTGGCCCAGTCAGAGCCCGGACTTGAACCCAATCGAACACCTCTGGAGAGAGCTGAAAATAGCTGTGCAGCGACGCTCCCCATCCAACCTGACAGAGCTTTAGAGGATCTGCAGAGAAGAATGGGAGAAACTCCCCAAATACAGGTGTGCCAAGCTTGTAGCGTCATACCCTAGAAGACTCAAGGCTGTAATCACTGCCAAAGGTGCTTCAACAAAGTACTGAGTAAAGGGTTTGAATACTTATGTAAATGTGATATTTCCATTTTTCTAAAAACCTGTTTTTGCTTTGTCATTATGGGGTATTGTGTGTTGATTGATGAGGGGGGGAAAACAATTTAATCCATTTTAGAATAAAGCTGTAACATAACAAAATGTGGAAAAAGTCAAGGGGTCTGAATTCTTTCCGAATGCACTGTACACAAATGATGTTCAGAGACGAGACAAGAAGGAACGTTTGGGATTTTAACCACAACTGTCAGTCCAAAAATCATTTTTGAATCACTACCTTCCAAAACAGAAGTAACCTATTCATTTTTCTATGACTCAGATATTCAACTGAGGGAAAAAACAAAAACATATTTTGACGTACGTCAACTAATTCCAGCGCCAACACAAACCCATGTATAACATCCTCCAAGGCAACTGTGGCCACTTCAATCTCTCGGCTGATCAAACCCTTCTAAGCTGCAAACCATTTTTCATCAGCTCAATTACTTGACAACTGTTTTGCTCTCTCCCCCTCCCTCTTCCCCTTGCCTCCTCCTCCTCCCTTCTCCTCCTCGGTTGGAAGTGATCATTTGTTCTTTTATTAGAGCTGATAAGATCCCCTGCATTGTCTGCCAGCGCTCGTTGGAGAGCCTCCCCTACTGTTCTAGCCTCCAGCGCATCTCCATATTATTGGTGCATTATTTCATGCATGCCCTGCTCTTTTATCAAGTGCTTTTGAAGTAATGTTAATAGACTAGAAAATCTAGACATTTATGAAGTATAGGCCGTGTTTATGAAAAAATCCATAAAGTATGACGGAGGCGAGGTGAGGTAAAAGCGGGTGTTTTAATAGATTATGGAGAAGGGGAGAGTCGTCGCAAAGAGCGCACATTTTTAATGGGATTTTTTTTGTTAGAAATGAAGTTAAACGTTCTAATTAATCTGTACATCCTGTGTAACTGCCCTCCCTCCACCACCCCCACACACACACACACACGTCTGACTTGGATAGATCTTTCTGGCCCCCCTGAAGCTAGACACCGCCTTTTTAGTTTAGCTAATTACCCTTCTGTGGTAATTTAGGTGCATGTTGCCTCCGCTGGCTGGCGGACGGGGTTGGGGGAGGTAAGGGAGGGGTGATGGAAGAGAAGGGCTGGAAGTAAGCTCTTTACGGCTGTGAAAAATTCAGAGGAAGAACAACTTGCCATAAAACAAATCATTTAGCTTAATTTTGGCTATTCATCAAAACCTAAACTTCCCCCAGAAGCTTTCTTTTTTTCTCCCTCTCCCAACCTGAAACTCAGTCAGTCAGTCAACTCACCATGAAGCTCTACTGGCTCCCTAATCATCAATCAGAGAACCCTCACATATAGTGCTTCATCTTTACATTAGAGGAGGGAAATACCTCCCTATGTTCTCTTCACACAAGCCTCTGTCTGTCCTCTCTGTGGTTCTAAGTGGGAGGTTCTGCCTAACTTGACCTGTGAACTTCCCCAACAAGAGGGTCAGCCACAGCTCAGCTCATTGTTTTAACGCATTTAGCCTCCCTTAAGAAGATTATTCAAATTCTACCGCCTGCCGCGCTTCTGCTCCTCCCTTTGACGCTAATTGCCAACGTCAGATCCACTTTCCCCTCCATGCTTCCGAGTCCACTTTGACAATTTTCAAAATCCAATGCAAATCTTATTGCAGGCTTGCGAGAGGCTTCCGCAATATTGAATGTCACTCACAATTAGGGGAGTGAAGGAAGGGTGAGCGGTGAGCAGAGCGTTGGCCTGGCAACCTGAGGCTAACCCCGCTAGCTCCCCAAACGCTCTTCTACAATTTGATCAGTGAATATCATTACCCCACCAAATATCCCAGGGGTGATCCATTTACCTTAACACAGGAAAGATGATATGTTTAACAACCATTCATCTGATGCTGTTGCAGCTCAGGAGTAAATCTGGCACTACCGTGCTCCAAAGGGATTGTGATTGTGGGGGAATAGAAAAGGCAGCATTAAATCAAATAGGTGTGAATAAAATTCAGTTGAATGCATTCAGTTGTGAAACTGACTAGGTACAGTGGGGGGAAAAAGTATTTAGTCAGCCACCAATTGTGCAAGTTCTCCCACTTAAAAAGATGAGAGAGGCCTGTAATTTTCATCATAGGTACACGTCAACTATGACAGACAAATTGAGAAGAAATAAATCCTGAAAATCACATTGTAGGATTTTTAATGAATTTATTTGCAAATTATGGTGGAAAATAAGTATTTGGTCACCTACAAACAAGCAAGATTTCTGGCTCTCACAGACCTGTAACTTCTTCTTTAAGAGGCTCCTCTGTCCTCCACTCGTTCCCTGTATTAATGGCACCTATTTGAACTTGTTATCAGTATAAAAGACACCTGTCCACAACCTCAAACAGTCACACTCCAAACTCCACTATGGCCAAGACCAAAGAGCTGTCAAAGGACACCAGAAACAAAATTGTAGACCTGCACCAGGCTGGGAAGACTGAATCTGCAATAGGTAAGCAGCTTGGTTTGAAGAAATCAACTGTGGGAGCAATTATTAGGAAATGGAAGACATACAAGACCACTGATAATCTCCCTCGATCTGGGGCTCCACGCAAGATCTCACCCCGTGGGGTCAAAATGATCACAAGAACGGTGAGCAAAAATCCCAGAACAACACGGGGGGACCTAGTGAATGACCTGCAGAGAGCTGGGACCAAAGTAACAAAGCCTACCATCAGTAACACACTACGCCGCCAGGGACTCAAATCCCGCAGTGCCAGACGTGTCCCCCTGCTTAAGCCAGTACATGTCCAGGCCCGTCTGAAGTTTGCTAGAGTGCATTTGGATGATCCAGAAGAGGATTGGGAGAATGTCATATGGTCAGATGAAACCAACTTTTTGGTAAAAACTCAACTCGTCGTGTTTGGAGGACAAAGAATGCTGAGTTGCATCCAAAGAACACCATACCTACTGTGAAGCATGGGGGTGGAAACATCATGCTCTGGGGCTGTTTTTCTGCAAAGGGACCAGGACGACTGATCCGTGTAAAGGAAAGAATGAATGGGGCCATGTATCGTGAGATTTTGAGTGAAAACCTCCTTCCATCAGCAAGGGCATTGAAGATGAAACGTGGCTGGGTCTTTCAGCATGACAATGATCCCAAACACACCGCCCGGGCAACGAAGGAGTGGCTTCGTAAGAAGCATTTCAAGGTCCTGGAGTGGCCTAGCCAGTCTCCAGATCTCAACCCCATAGAAAATCTTTGGAGGGAGTTGAAAGTCTGTGTTGCCCAGCGACAGCCCCAAAACATCACTGCTCTAGAGGAGAACTGCATGGAGGAATGGGCCAAAATACCAGCAACAGTGTGTGAAAACTTTGTGAAGACTTACAGAAAACGTTTGACCTGTGTCATTGCCAACAAAGGGTATATAACAAAGTATTGAGAAACTTTTGTTATTGACCAAATACTTATTTTCCACCATAATTTGCAAATAAATTCATTAAAAATCCTACAATGTGATTTTCTGGATTTTTTTTTCTCATTTTGTCTGTCATAGTTGACGTGTACCTATGATGAAAATTACAGGCCTCTCTCATCTTTTTAAGTGGGAGAACTTGCACAATTGGTGGCTGACTAAATACTTTTCCCCCCCACTGTATCCCCTTTCCTTTCCATTTGGGACTCCTGCTGTTAACTAGCACGCTGGTTAATGAAGGGTCAATTTTCTCCGTCTGACAACCCGCAAGCTTAATCATCTGTTATTAGTACAAATGGGTTTTTCTTTACAAAGACGTGGATGCTACAGAATATAGGACTTTTTTTCTTATTATTATGATAATGGCACAATGTGGTTGTGGAAGCTGAGTGATACTGAGTGACTTGATTCAACAATGCAGTAATACCTGTTTTTATGACAGTTTCTATTAAAGTTTTCCTGGCATAACTTGATGGTTGTTGTAAATAGCATGGGTGGCTTCGAAAGCTGAAACCGTATACTTTTTTCCCCCTTTTTTTAAATTAAAGCTGGAACTGCTCTTTTTTTCCAACAGTGATTGATGTGCTAGAACAGTGGCATTTTTGATAATTAAATTATGCAAATAATGTAGACAAAGCATGAGTCTGGAGAGAATTCACATTAAATCACTGATAAACATCAAAATAATAAAACAGGAACAAATTAGTTGGAAGAGGAACTCTGATCTCTGGTATTGTATCTTAAGGCAGAGCAGTGACCACAATCAAATGTGTCACCTCTGAAGAAAACCCTCATTACCCATATCACAGCTAATATTATGTTAAACATGACCTCCAAGCAGAAACTAATCAAGGGTGTAACTGATAGAACAAAAAATGCATAAACAAACCACAAATTAAATTATTGTCCCTTTTTTGTGAGCCTCCCGGTCGATTTCACCTTAATGATGGTAACCAAAACACACCCAAAGGGCCTGCCGCGACGACATCATAAAGGTTAACATATTCTGTACATCAGTAGGGCAGATAGGGATCTGTCAGATTGCCAAACGACATCAACAGTTCGTCTGAGATTAGGGAGGGAGAAAGTGGAGCAGACAGACAGACGGAGCAGAGAGGTCCAACATCTATCACACGCCACGTCAAGCATTTCTTCCCATGATACTCTCTGGTCTACCACCAGTCCTGCTCCCAGTCCCAGTCAGATCTAGCATGCCCGGTGTGCCAGGCCTGTCAGGAGCCATGTGCTGTCCCTCACACTGGCCACTTCAGCCTACTGCCTTATTCAGTGGGTCTCAACAGCCATGTGGAAGCGATTTAACAACAGGCCTAAAACTTCAAACAATAGACTTCACCAATCAACGTATTGCCATAATGCAATAATTTCTCTGTATGTGACTGTGACTCCAAACTGACAACTTCTTCAGGGGAAATAATTAAGACCACAGAATAAAGCATTTGAGCTGTTCTTCCCCTCCCCCTTTCTTTAATAGGATCCCACTCATTATTTCCTAAAGTGGGATAGAGGGGGGTTGGTTTGGTCTGGTCTCAGACTGCCTTTCCTCTGTCGGTCTACAGTGCATTCGGAAAGTATTCCGACCCCTTTCCTTTTTGTTACGTTACAGCCTTATTCTAAAATGGATTAAACAAAAAATATTCTCATCAATCTACATACAATACCCCATAATGACAAAGTGAAAACAGGTTTTTAGACATTTTGCAAATGTATTATAAATGAAAAACAGAAATACATTATTTACATAAGTATTCAGATCCTTTGCTATGAGACTCAAAATTGAGCTCAGGTGCATCCTGTTTCAGTTGATCATCCTTGAGATGTTTCTACAACTTGATTGGAGTCCACCTGTGGAAAATTCAATTGATTGGACATGATTTGGAAAGGCACACACCTGTCTATATAAGGTTCCACAGTTGACAGTGCATGTCAGAGCAAAAACCAAGCCATGAGGTTGAAGGAATTGTCCGTAGAGTTCCGAGACAGGATTGTGTCGAGGCACAGATCTGGGGAAGGGTACCAAAACATTTCTGCAGCATTGAAGGTCTCCAAGAACACAGTGGCCTCCATCATTCTTAAATCGAATAAGTTTGGATCAAGACTCTTAAAGCTGGCCACCCGGCCAAACTGAGCAATCGACGGAGAAGGGCCTTGGTCAGGGAGGTGACCAAGAACCCGATGGTCACGCTGACAGAGCTCCAGAGTTCCTCTGTGGAGATGGGAGAACCTTCCAGAAGGACAACCATCTCTGCAGCACTCGATCAATCAGGCCTTTATGGTAGAGTGGCCAGACGGAAGCCACTCCTCAGTAAAAGGCACATGACAGCCCGCTTGGAGTTTGCCAAAAGGCACCTAAAGGACTCTCAGACCATGAGAAACAAGATTCTCTTGTCTGATGAAACCAAGATTTAACTCTTTGGCCTGAATGCCAAGCGTCACGTCTGGAGGAAACCTTGCACCATCCCTACGGTGGGGCATGGTGGTGGCAGCATCATGCTGTGGGGATGTTTATCAGCGGCAGGGACTGGGAGACTAGTCAGGATCGAGGGAAAGATGAACGGAGCAAAGTACAGTGAGATCCTTGATGAAAACCTGCTCCAGAGCGCTCAGGACCTCAGACAGGGGTGAAGGTCCAGCTTCCAACAGGACAATGACCCTAAGCACTCAGCCAAGACAACGCAGGAGTGGCTTCGGGACAAGTCTCTGAATTTCCTTGAGTGGCCCAGCCAGAGCCCAGACTTGAACCCAATCGAACATCTCTGGAGAGACCTGCAAATAGCTGTGCACGGACACTCCCCATCCAACCTGACAGAGCTTGAGAGGATCTGCAGAGAAGAATGGGAGAAACTCCCCAAATACAGGTGTGCCAAGCTTGTAGCGTCATACCCAAGAAGACTCGAGGCTGTAATCGCTGCCAAAGATGCTTCAACAAAGTACTGAGTAAAGGGTCTGAATACTTATGTAAATGTGATATTTCAGCAAATATTTCTAAAAACCAGTTTTTGCTTTGTTATTATGGGTTATTGTGTGTAGATTGATGAGGGGAAAAAAAACAATTTAAATACATTTTAGAATAAGGCTGTAATGTAACAAAATGTGTAAAAAGTCAACGGGTCTGAATACTTCCCGAATGCACTGTATACTGTTGCCGGGACCCCAATGCTAGGCTATATTGTCACGGCAACATTCGCCATTACCACGACAGCAGATTCTCATTAAGACGTGAGTTGTGGGGCAACACATTTGCATGCTCACAGCGAGGGGCTAATTGTATCAATATGTAAAATTCTCCCCCTAAAACAAAGCGATGTTGTTCATATATTTTTGTTCTAATTGAACCAGTGTGCCATGGAGGTAGAGTCAGCAGGCTGAGAGACAAGGCACTGTCTTTGGGATCATTCTACAGAGTTCAGTGCAAACAAATCAGATTTAATTGTTTTCTGGGGAAATTGCTTTGGATTTTGAATGATCATGAATAATGACATTAAGACAGACAAATGATTCTGTTGTTTAAAGGCAAAACGATATATAGTTTGTATGTCACTAAGGGTCTACAGTATAAGCGTAGGCTATGAGCGTAGTATAAGTATAAGAGTAGGATAATAGAACACACATCCTGCGCTACATGCTTATCCAAGGCTCAAGTCTAAATTATTAATGTCAATAATAACAGCTATAACTTTGTTGATCCCCTAAAATGTTTTAACTTTCTTAACCTTCTATGAGATCAACAACAGTGTGCACAGCATGATATCATTACTCTGTAAGTTATCCCCAACACTCAATGGTTCTACCTCAACCATCCATCCATACACACGTGTTCTTACTCATCTGAGGTTTTGGATGGGAGATCAAGGTCGTTGTGGATGAGATGGACACTTGCCTTGTTGACAGTAACTTGACAAGTGTAATCCCCAGTACAGAGTGGGTAAACACACAGCACCAGCTGCCCACGCAACCACGGATACACTCACTTCCTGTGTTCTCTCCTGTTGAGCTGAGTCTGTGTGTTTAAACAATAAGAAAAAACGTTCCATCCTACAAACTTCACACACGAATGTGGATGTAGATACACAAACACACATATACACACACCCACAAGGCTACATTCTGCAGACAAATACACACTCTCAGACTACAAACTTCAGTGAAATCACAGCTTTGTATCCTAGTCGGATTTCAAAGGCTATGTCTTTGTTTCTAGTTCCTCGTCAGACTCAAACAACAAAGTTGTAGCTAGTTATAACGATCCCTGGAATCAACCATTCTTATCCATCTCAGTATTTCACTGGGAGTTATGCACCACTATGCTCCTTGTAAGTCCCTAGAAACACAAGACTGACTTTCCCCGTCTAGCCACTTAGCCATCAGTCTCCCTCCTCACCTCTTGATCCTTGTAAGTCCCCAGTAAAAATCAAAAGAGACACACATATCCCAAACCCAACCACCCCACCCCCTCTCCATGTTTCTACTAACTTCCTTGGAATCTAAAAGACAACCACATCTCCAACCCAGCTACCCAGCCATCCATCCCACCACCCTCCCCTCCGTCTCCCCTCCCGTGGGGGTCTCTTACCCTGAAGGCCTGGCTGTAGGGCCCGATGTTGGCGGGAGCCCAGTGGGACAGGCTCTGGACGTGAAGGGCCTCTCTGTGGTGGAAGGTAGCCTCCTGCGCAGCCTCCTGGGGCTCTGGGGGCCAGTCGTGGAGCAGACAGTCCATCTGGAGGAGCTGACCGGCAGGTAGAGGGGCCTGGACACACACCCTGGAGAGGTGGAGGGAGGGATGAAGAGGAGGGGAGGACATGAAGGAGGAGATCCTGATGATATGATCTGTATACTCATCAACTGTATACGGACAGTGAAGGATTTAGTGAGGATATGTGATTGTCTCTGCTTTTTGGGTGAGGGGTCAGTCTAAGTGTGCTAAATAGTCTGTAGACTCTTCTCCTTATCCCCTGTCCTTCATCTGCACACATCTAAGAATGCTGGAAAGGTGTGTGTAAATAACATTAATATGAGGTAGGAGACAGGGAGGGGAAACCTCTCTAGACAATAGAAAGGCAGCCTACGGGTCCATTATGGTACCTGGCAGGGGGGTTGATGCCAAAGTGGGTGGTGTAGACTTTGTTGAGTGAAATGAAGTCCTCCATGTTCCTCACATACAGGTGAACCAGGACAATATGCTTCAGCTGCCAGTCTCTCCTCTCCAGCTCACCTACACAGGACCAAGTCACAGGTTACAGATACACGCACAAATATTTCTCATTGTAGGGAGAATACAACGTGTTTAGGTTGCTAAATGATTGTGGTGACACTTGAGACCATACTGAATGCACATTGAGCTATGTTTACCTTGACATAGTTCTGAGAGTCATGATTTATTTCATCCCATGCATTGTACACAGCTCAGCTCCCTTAAAGAGCATCGGGAAGAGAAGACCGGGGGCTTGAAGCAAGGTCTTTCTCCTCCTTATTATATGATAGGGCATCAAGTTTGTTTTTCCTTTGCCAACGCTGGCATCTCAGAGTACTTCACACACTTCGTCCTCATACAAAGAGGTTCTCCATTAAATATTAACTCATTTAATATTGTCTCTGCTCTGTGAAGGCTGTTCAGCCGCATACCACGATTAAATATGCTTTTCATCTTTCTACCCTTTTTCTCCCCCTCACCCCCCAAAATCAGATGCTCTATTAAAGTGTGCACTTTTAGAAAAAGTTATGCGGGGCGAAAAAGAGCTAACCCACACAGCGTGCCTGTGTGTAAGTGTAAGTGTGTGAGAGTGAGTGTCTGTTTGAAGAGGAGCGGGGTGCGCTCCGCTCTGGGTTAATTTAAAGTGTCTGTCCTCGTGTGGTGCGCTTGCAATTCCGTCCCTGTGATGGACACAGAAGCTTACACGTGGGCCTCCCAAACTTAAAAAGAGCATTTGTGAATAAAGAGCTGTGTTTTTGCTCGGGCCCAGCCTGCCGCACCTTTCAAGTGCATTTTCCTAACACAACAAGGAGAAAGAGAGGTGTCCTGGGAACAAAGGAGTTTTCCACCTCCGTTTTCTCAATTGGCTGGTTTCAGGGTTAAACCTTGCAAAGGGGTTACAGAGTGCCGGCAACCACTCCAGTACTCCTTAGCACCAACCACTTTTTATATTCTATATTCCTGATATAACCCCTGGTAAAAGCAGTCCAGAACCTTATCTTCCCTCAAAAGTTCTACATTTTTATTTGATCGAAGCTAACATAGATTATTTTGGGTTACGGCGTTAGTTTGAGTTTGTGACTTATCACTAGAGTTTCTGAGAACCTAAAGAATTTTCAAGTAGCCTTGTGTTTCTTGGAAATTGAACATTTTATAAGTCTGTTTTTTAAACTTGTGATGCACTAGTTTGCAGCATCAGAGTTACAAACTAGTTTGCAGTCAGTATACTTCCCCCCTCTTTTGCTGTACTGAACTGTACCTTGCAGCAGAGTGAATGCTGTAGTGGTCTGACTCTGGATCCCTGGGTCTGGGCTGTGAAGCCCAGTGATACCTGAGATCCACTGGTAGCCCCTGGAGCTTCTAGGTGAGCAGGACGGGAGGTCTGGAGGGAGAGATATCAGACCAGACGGAGGTTTGAGAGGCCTGCAACTTGAAAAGTGAAATTATTGCTTTTCTATAAACTAAACTAGGCCTATGTCTCAAAGATATAGACGCACAATGTTTTAGAAGATATGAAGAGTATTTTGTAACAGCTAAATCATATGTATACGACTGCTAAGTAGTAATTCATTCAGAAATGGACAGTAACAACATTTTTTATTCCTAAACAGTCATAAATATGTTCTTAGAATGACAGCTCTTGTCAAGTGATCACTCAAAAGAGCTAGCATTATGACACTGGCCACATGACACAGATACAGTGCACGCACGCACACGCACACACAGGCACACACACATACACACACACACACACACGCGCCTCACCACGGCCCCGATGACAACTAAGGTCGCCATTTGATGTAAATTCTTCCTGGATGTCTTCAGCTTGATCAGCCTCCTCAGTCATCTTTTCAATGACACTCTGGCAAGGACAACTACCAAGGGGCAAAACACTCACCACCGCGCCCTGCAATAAAACATCAAGCCAAACAGACACAGCCCCAAAATCACATAACTACACACAACCATTGCAAAACAACCAACAGAGCACAATTTGTTTTTCAAAAAGCCGCCACTACACAGGCTAGGCAATGTATGTCACTATTTTTCTGATGAGGGCCTAGACACAAATAACTTCAAGGTGAATGAATATGAAACACATGCTAACATATTCATGAATTACACCAAGCAGGGAGGGGCGGCAGGCGGTTGTATTTTCTGATACAATCATGCCGGCTATCACTCTTCTTGATTCCTAGCTTTGCTTTGACATGCTTTGGATTTCACCACACTGGTGTTTTATTCATTTGTTTATTTAGAACTTTGCCTCCATACCCTCTTCTTAAAAAAAAAAACATTAGCATTCTCAAAGGCATACATATTACCTGCCAAATTCCACCAGGGCGTAAAACATTTAAATACACATTTCAAATTTTCTTAACAACTACCCCCCCTCCTGCTGTCAGCTGCATTTGGCCATATGATAATCAAATTAATTATACTGCAGCCCCTCTCGATTGCTGCCTACACAGGGAGGGAAAAACTGAGGGGCAAATGATGGAGGGCCGTGATGTCCCCACCCCCTGTGTTGCCCACCGCCCGCCCTAGTGCAGTCTCCTCTAGTCATCTAGTGCTTGTGTCAGGGCCGATCTGTCACCCTGATGGAAAGAGCTTTGGACTGCAGCATGAGGGTAGGTTATCCTCTCCCCTGAATCCCAGGCCCAGGGAATCTCCCTGCTCTTCCCCCAACCAGCAACCCAGGGGGGATGTGGGGATGTGTGTGTGTGTGTGGGGGTAGAAAATACATAGCTGTAGGTATGTATGGAGGATGGAAGCTGGAGGGTCACCGGGGTTGGAGGGTATGATTTCTGTCCATAATAACACACACAAACACACACACAAACCATGCCCTAGAGCACTGGCCTGCTAGGGGCTGCTCCCACCCGTGTGACCCCTGTGAACCCCCTGTGTACCCCCTCACACACAAACATACACACACATTACTGCAGCTAGCACAGCTCCTCTATACAATACTAGATAAACTCTCATCTTCTTTGTTCCAAGTTCGTTCTTTCTCTCACCATTCTTTACTGGGTTTCTTTACTACAAATACAATGCACAGAGTAACTGACCCAGATGCTGTTGTTTACTAAGCTTGTTGCTTTTATTTCGTTTCCCGTCTCTCTCTTACTCACTGGTTGTAGCCTCCAGTCCGCTAAGCTAATTAGTCGCAACCAGACCAGACCACTGTAATACTGTTAAAGGGAGGAGCTGTTGTGTTACACACAACCTTGTCTGACCTGACCCCTGACCTCATAGTTAACTGTGTAGACTTAAGTTGGCCAAATCTACAGATACATAGACGTCTTAGTTCTCATCTACCCTACCAGACCAGAGGCAGCCAGGAGGAAACCAACGAGAACATGTTGCAATGGGAAAAGTGACATGAGTCAATCCAATGTGTTGCTTGGGTACATACAGTCAACTGTGGGATCCAGATAATCTCTCTCACACTAGGAGCCAGGGCATCATCCCTATGTCTCCAGAACCCCCCACCCCTTCCCTTTACTCACCTCCACCCCTCTTTACTCCTCCCCATCCCCCCACTGTGTCCGCTTAGCCAGCTACCTGAATCTTAAAAGCCATAATTTAAGCAGACATGTTTATTAAGCCAGGCCTAGTTTCAGGCAGGAGTGAATATTGCAGACGTCAAAGTAGGCCATGTGGGACTAGAGGAGCGAGGGATGGAGAGATGGGAGGGAGACCCTCTGGAGGCAAACTTATCACGCATCAAAAAAGCAACTATTAGAGACTGTTCAATTCTGTTTATTCTGTGTACTGAGTGACTTCTGTATCAATGGTGTGCAAGACTAATTTATTTAGTTAACATCCTGAATTGCATTTACAACTTGAACTGAAACCACTAAACGCTGACACAAAAATAGCCTAACTCTGCAAAAAGTAAGACTTACATTCTCTTTGTCCTCTGTGTGCATCTTGCTGAAGTGCAGGTAGCCAACCGGAGCAAAGGCATCTGCAGAGTGGATCACTGTCTCCATAGTATCACTGCAGAAAAATGAAAACACTTTTATAAGTATATACTTTCTTGTCTGTACATTCATTTCAAGAAAGATACAACTTTCAATGCTGGACTTACATAACAAGTCTCTTCTTGAACAGAGGACAATCGAGAGTAAATGTCTCGTATTCGCCCCCTTCTCCACAGACATGGACTCCATACTTCTCAGAAAGCTGTCCAACAAAAACAATATGTTCATAATCATTTCATTTTAAGATCCAGCCTAAAAGCAATCACTTTACTCTAAATCTATATGTTTGAAACACTAGCCAAAACATTACTGTTGGTCATATATCGAGTCTTCAGATTAAACTCAATGATGCTAAGAAAGCAGTAACAGTTTGAAAGCAGGCCACTCTTTAGTGAGTTCATTCAGGGTGACATAATTATATAACAAAGCCAGATCCAGCCTGGTGAGGTAATGCTCTGACCTGAGTTAGATAGGGCTCCATGTCAGCCAGAGGTTTCCCCAAGTGTTTCTCAGGATCCAGCCCTACACACACACACACACACACACACACACACACACACACACACACACACACACACACACACACACACACACACACACACACACACACACACACACACACACACACACACACACACACACACACACACACAGAAGAGAGAGAGGGAGGCCTGATCAGGGACAGAGAACAGTGATTGAAGATGACAGGCGCTGATGCTTTACGGGCAGTCACACAGACACACACGTAAACCTGCACCCTGGATCTATTTATTTGACTTTGCAAGTAGTGTACACAGATATCTCCGGGTAAAGGTAACATTTTTCAGTCGCAGCGGGGTGAAAAGAGAGAAGCACCCCTCATCTGGTTCCCTTTGATAACCTAAACTCTGAGAGAGGGAGAGGGAGAGGGAGAAAGGGAGAGGGAGAAATCCTGTTTAATTTGCCTTCCCCCTCTCCTTCCCCTTACACGGTGCATGGAAGTGACTCACAGGCCCTCAGCTTTGTGTGGGGCAGCAGAGAGAAAAACAGGAGGAGAGGAGGAAGAGAGCTATGTCTGCTTACCCAGCCAGTACCCACCAGTGCCACATTCCAAGAACACCATTACCTCTTACTTCAGTTTCTTCGTCATCATCTTACCTCAGATCAAAGCTTAGAGAACAAAAAGACCCCACCTTTGAACGTATAAGCCAGGTAGTCACTCAATTCTTAGAGGTTCCAACATTAGCCAGTAATAGCCACCATGGCTGTATTAATGGCTTAGCATGTCAATTAATTTACAGTACTGGCGCATTAAGGGCACTAACAGTTTGTGTTCCCTCTATCTCATTAAGTGTGGATGGTTTTACTCTCTGCGTGACACAAAAATCCTCCGCCTGCTGTCAAAATATTCCTGACACATGTTCCTGATGAAGCCTCCTTTCCGACCTTTAGCTCTTTGATGAGGAGGCCGATGAGGTCACACGACATCTTCTGAGAATAAACAACTCTGATCCTCAAGTAAACAAACAAACAAGCTACTTATGGTATCTCCCCAGGTGACCCTACCTGCTCTTAACTTCAAACAGCCAATGAGACAGCATGTAACTCAGCAGACACAACAAAGACAAACAGCTAAACAACAGATGGGAGTAAAGGTGAAACCAGCTGAACACTATGACCAAAGAGGCTTCATATAAATTATCCTAATGTGGTTTCCTGTTAATGCTAGAGCCTCAGCCAATCCAATCTAGCTAGCCTATCTGATTCTACAGCCATGGAGACTACCATAGACAAGATTAGCAAGGCTATGTTCAGCTTTATGTGACTGAGGGGGTTTTTAGTGGCTCACTTAGTTTCACCCATATCCAATGTCTTCTCAGTGTGGCTTTTCATACATAGTCTGACACATTACAAACAAGTAATTACCTACAGTATAACAGACTGACATGCTATTTTGACAAAATGCCAATGCAACCTACACCACAGTATTCTGTTCCAATATATTTGGTTATCAAAACCTCTGAACATTCATTATCCTATTAAAATCTACTTAATCCTGCTCATTTACAAGTTTCTATGTAATTAGAAGGCAAATGTTAATCATAACGTGAGAAAATATATTATCTTCCTGTCCTGACAACCTCAAAGGTCAAGGTTAGATTCCACGGTACCTCTGGGGAGGGGCATGCAGCATCCCAAAGTGGGTTTCAAGTTAAGCCTCAACTAGGCTCCCAAGCCTCCCATGGTCCGGCGCTGTGAAGGAGAGAGGGAAGACCAGGGGGGATTTAGGGAAGGAGAGAATGAGAGGAGAGGAGTGTAGAAGGAGTGAATGAGCCAGGCCCTTGTTCTCCACCCAGGGGAGCTGTAGCCTTAATTAGTGTGAGAATATCTAATCTCATCACTCTCTCATCTTAACCCTGCACAAAGGTAATAAGAGAAAAAGCATTAAAATTCAATCCCATTTAAATATCCTTTTTAATTAGTCATGCCTTTTAACACATTTTAATGATTGGCTTCAAATTGCTGAGGGGATGTCGCTTTTTTAATGTGTTCATTAACTTACCCTAGCCTTAAATAATATATGATACATGATTTGATATTTACAGGGAGGGAGGTGGCAAGCGCTTAGAGATGTGTGTGACAGGAATAAGTGATAATATACCATACAATATATAACTATTCAGACTTGAGATGCCAATCTTCCAATGACATAAAAGTAGTTTCATCTTCATGAAATTCCCCCAATTAATGAATAATGGCAACAGAAATCTGTTTATCTTCTTCTTGCTGAACCATAAGATGGGCCTAACTGAATCCATACTGGACAAGTTTTGTGAGTGTCACTCAGTGGCTACTTACTGTGAGCCAAGCCCACCACATTGTTACTGTTAGCTTCATCCAGCAATCTAACACTGCACTCATTTACATGGTCTTCACATCCCCGTCTCCTCTCAACCTGTTTTACAACATGACCTAAACCCAATTACCTAACCTCATTATGCCACATTAAACCCAAATAAGCCCACTAGAAGCTGTCATTTGTCTGCCGCCAGAGACAGGTTGGCCGCACTTTGGAGAGAGAAGCTTTCCTGGGAGACAAAAAGGAATAGCTGGCCCTTAAAAGGCTTTTTATCCCGTATTATCCTATAAAACCGCAATTAAATTCAGTGAACTTCTCAAACCAGAGAGTGCGTAATGAGGAAACACGTTTTACGGGGTACGGTGTTCACAAAATGACTCTGCCAAAGCTCGAAATGAGTGTTGAAAAAGAGAGGTTTTGCCCTATTTGAACAGTCACGTCAGTAGTATGTTCAAGACTAAATCATAGTGACATGTAAAACTGTTCTGTAAGTGTATTGATGGTTATGCTGTACACAAAATAAATAGTATGGAAAGGACACCATCATATCCATTACTACCTGCTTATTAGACTACTAACTACTACAAAAAGCTGAAATGATGCATAACTGATCTTTTAAACAAAATGTTTGAAAAAAAGGCAGTGTTAACAGATGAAAAGGTGCTCTCACTGCTTGCTGAACTCTGCTTGCGGGTCTCTCACAGACCTACGTAGTCACAGCTTTTTACCCACTGGTGAAAGCCTAAGCACCCTTCATCAATTGATTAGTGAAAACCTACAGCATGAGTTACCTTCTTAATTTAAACTAGTTGTGTTCTCCTGCTCAGTGTCCTTGGCACTCTGCTACATTGTACCTAATGCTAAATTAAAACCTGGGAGAGAGATTCTAGATACTGCCAGAGCCAGAGCCGAGTATCGCAGCCATCCACGAGTCGTCTTAAGATCTGGCACGTCTGCCGACTGACAGCTTGGCATTAATCCCTGCCTTCAGAGAGAAAAGGGAGAGAAAATTGGATTCAGGATGTGAAACATTTGAGCTTTTAAATGCATGAAATAAGCATCTCCCACTAGAAGGTGAGCCGCGTCAAGCCTTTGAACAACGCTCTCAAAGACCTTAGTGAAAACAATAGCTGTTCAGTATCACCTCATCTTACAGAGGGAGAGAGAAAGAGAAAGAAAGGGAGGAGAGAGGGAGGGAGGGAAACACAAACAAAAGATGATAAGATTAAGGTTATATGTGAAATGTGTTCAAGCTCTTATCTGAAATTCAATGTCTCAGAGAGGAATAATAGGCAGGGTGAATAGAGCGGCACCCACCTCAAAGATGGAATCTTTTATATCCAACAAATTAAAAAAGAGAAATTGTGGCCAATTATAACCTTATCCAATGTATATTGCAAGTTTTACACAGACTTTATCCCAGACTTTTAGAAAAAGACACTAACTGGCAATAAAGAGGAAGTATCAATGATACAAAGATATTGCAGAATTGAATTCCATCTTTACTTTTGTATTTCTTTTTTATCCAATAGGTGCCATTGACTCTTGGTAGTGATGTATCCATTCTAGCAGCAAAATGTAACATAAGTGTTAAAGCTTTATATCAAATATTGATGTTTTAGTTCATTGTGGCGAGCTGGGCCAAAACAGTTCATCATTGACCCTTACACTAAACTAATGACATTGTTGACAGAGATGTATATGATTGAACCGGCCCCACAAGGTCAGGTCATATGAGTCAATAGACAGGTAAAAAAAAAAGGAGTCTTGCTACTTGGCATGTCAAGACTAAATGACTAATCCTACACTTTCTTTTGTCTTTCTGTGGTTAGCAACTTTCCATCCCAACGTGATGGAGGGAAGGAGGAAAGGAGGGGTGGATGGGGCTCTGTGACCTTAGTCAAGGTTAAGCTGTGCAACCTGAGGCTGATGGTTTAGCGTTTACTGTCACTGTGTTAAAGTTGCTTTAATTGTTTTCATCACAATGCTTTACTGTCAGTGGTACATCAAATGTCAACAGCAAATTATAGCACTGCTTGCCTCTCAAGGCTAATTTGGCCCTGGCCATTGAAAGGACAATGGAAGCTGATTTGACTTCCAGGAGAAAACGTAACTATTCCTCTGCCTTCAAAGAAGTTTGGTTTTTCTAACAGTAGACAAGACAACATGACATTTCAAATAGACAATTGTTGTCAAACAAAACTAAACCAACCATTAGGTCTTCTAAAATAACTAAATTAGTCCATGGTTTTAAACTGTAGCTACAGTATGGTCTTCAGTGAATGCAAATCAGTCCACATTTTATTTTTCTCATAACACAAAGGAAGGCCTAGTGCAAAGGGTAGAGCTCAGCTCATGTGATAAAAGGTTTCCGACGGAGAAACCTTGATTTCAAAAACGGCAATTATCGCTAAAGCTGCGGAGCAATTAACTGCTGCAGAGAATGCTGAACCTGCATGTGCAACCCACACACACCAACACTAATCAATCAGTTAACTAATTACATTAATATTTAATACTGGCATTTGGAATTGCCAATTATCACTTGCTAGGGAGAGAGCGGTTGTGCTATATGTGAAAACAATGAGGATCCAACTCAGGTAAAACTTAATGATCGTCTAATACACATAATTCACATTTATAAATCATTTTCATTTGGCTTTATAATATTCTGCTGTGCTCAATATCTTAAGAAATTCAATAGCCTTCACTACATAGGATATCAGGAGACAGAAATCTGACAATAATCTTTTTCTGTCTGTTCTTTCTCTCTTTTCTCTCCAACTGTGGATTAGGGTAACGTCAGTATGAAAATAAGCGCTTCCTGAGAATTCATTTTTTGGACAGCTGTCTTTTGACAATAGGGATTTGTCACCTTCAAAATCTCTTCAGTTCCCCCCAAAAAGCAAAAGCAGTAGGAAATGCAGTTTACTGTTAATTTTTCACCTGTCTCTCTAAGTAGGTAATGAAGGAATATTACACTGAAACTACCACCCAGTCTCTATCCCTTCATCTCCCCAAAGAAAAACCTATCTTGCAGACAGTGCCAGATGAACCATCAGCATATCAAACATCGCAGCATTCTCTGTCATTTCAGATGTGGCTTAGACCTTTAACCCTGAGAGAGCTGTTTTTATCTCTTCCTGAGGTCTGCGAAGGCAAATCCGCCTCGCCCCCTACCTCATCCCCTCAGGTACACCCATCTGTCACCCAATACCCCCCCAAACAGCACACCTCGCTGCTCAGACCTGCTTCGAACCAAAGCTGCAATTATTTGAGTGGTGCCTTAAAAGGGCCCGAGGCACTCGCGGCCCCATTAAATTCTCTCATTTCTAATTACCCCTGCCTCGGGACAGGTGAGGAGTCAGGGACCAAAATAAGATCTTCTACCTGTAGCCAAAACACACATACACACACACAAACAAACACACACTCACAAAATGAATGTGTGGAATGTTATTTTTCTTTTAGAGGAGTAGCTATGTGTTAAGAGAAGGGGTTGAAAGCTTGGCGGTACGGTGGCCTGGTCACTGGGGGACTTAAGCCTTTAAGGTGAGGTGTTTTCTCTGGCTGTGAATGACTTCGGGCGGTAATTTGAAGGGACTAGCGATGCTGGGGCGATAGCAGAGAGCAGCAGCATACAGCAGAGCAGAGCAGCATTCCTGGGCCAGACACAAAGAGGCTTTGTCTCGGCGACCAAATTAAGATGACGTTGTTTTCAAAAAGCCCTGCATTAGCATAATTACTCTCCTCGCTAACATCCTCTAGGTTCATTGCGTTCAAACAAGGTGGAATAAAAGACAGTGTGATCATTGACATCAAAGGGAGAAGAAGTAACCCAAGTGGAATACACAAGTCAAAAGCATGTGTTAGATAAAGCTAGATAAAGGGACTTCACTTGGAGAAAGAACAAAATTATAATACGTTTACTTTACAGAGATGCTAGAACACAATGATCTTGTCAGTAAAATTATAACAGGCTCAGAATTGGATTCTTGCGATTATCTCTGTCTTTAAAAAGCGAAAGATTCAAGTTTGAACGGGGGGAAAAATGACTAATAACCCTTCAAACATTCAAACTTGAAAAATGAGAAATAGTCATAGATACGAAGACTAATAATAATACAGGTAAATGATGAGCTACATTCCAACAGTGGCCATTTCAATGGTGTTGAGAGACATCTAGAAACCTGAACATGTCACGACATTCAGTTCACTAGGTCATCAGTCTAGCTGGCACCCCTTTCAACTGATTGCTCCTGAAGGCGACAACAAGCACTTAAGAGCACATAAACAGTGTCTCCATAATGATCTATCGCCAAGAGTTGTTTCAAAGTAAAAATACCAATTTGCCACATAATTATCATTTATCCCTTTCACTATCATACGGATCCAACTCAACTGTCTAGCAGATACAGGTAGCAGTCTTCACACACCACACTTATTCCGCAAACCAATCCCTCAATCCCCCAGGCTCCACAATGGCCAAGAAGACAAACCTAGGTGACAATACTTTAACCTTTTCCCTTTGTGCCAGAGCCACTTAAAAGCTTAAATTAGATATATACTAGATTTTAATCTACTCTTCACAGCCCATGAGTTTTGAGGTATGCAAAAGCTGTGAGGTACGCAACACTGGCCCCCCACCACAATAGGGACGCCTGCGCGGTGTTATTGACAGGCTTTCATTAATGCGCTGTGCAATCACCTGTACAGTTGCTCAACTGCCAAGAACCCCATCTCACTTCTGCTTCTTATCTTTCTATTCATATTCTTCTCCACTCTGCTGCCTTTGCACCCTGGCACAAGTCTCAACATCGCTGCTAAAAACCACAGATTGATGATTCGGAACATTGCACATTACTCTCTCTTTCTCTCTCTGGTTACACAAACCCTCCACCTCCCATTCCCTCCCCACCCCAAATCTCAAACTCTCCTCACTCCCCTCTAACAAACCCTCCTACTTAATCTGCACCTTTTGGACTGAGAAAAGAACGAGCACTAAGCCGACAATGAGAGAAGGGCGGTGTTGGACTGCTCACCCGCTGCCCTGGAGAAAGAGAGAGAAAGAGAAATGGAGAGAGACACACCGAAGGCGGCCACTTTGATGAGGAGGGCGTGGAGGTCACACGATATCATCTCAGAGAGCAGGGTCGCCTGGTCGCGGCGCCACAGGTAGGCCAGGGGCTGCAGACCCAGCCGCACACACCTGGGGGAACAGGTGAGGGAGGGAGGGAGGGAGGGAGGGAGGGAAAGAAGAGAGAGGGTGAGGGGTGGGTCAGAAAGAAAACTTGCCAGGATCACAACACCTTCAAAGTGCGACGGGCACCTTCACTAGTTTTGCGGGCAGGCTGCCTTACCAACGCTCACATGGAACACACTCTGAGCCGTCTCTGGTGCCTGTGGCTTTGTTCAACAGATTCAGCAGAAGAGGGGGAATTAAAGAGGGGGAATTATCTTAAAATGGCACGTCCTTTACACTATAACTCTCTGTGTCACACACACTCACACACACACACACATACACAACACACTCACATAGGCAGTGTGCCGGTAACTGGAGCCGAAACTCATGGGCGTACATGTCTTTGTCTCAGAGAACGCCTGCGGTGTATGAGTGTGTATGTGAGAGTAAGAGTGTGTGTGAGTGGCTGAAACAATACATGATTGACAGCGGGATTTGTTCATAAGCTGAGAGCTCTGTGGTTGTGTTGGGTTGTGTTGGGAACACAAGACGAGAGAGGCTTGTGCTGGAATGTACCTTACCACAGTGACAGAGAGATAGAAAGAGAGAGAGCGCGAGAGAGCGAGAGAGAGGCCCATACTAGGCCTCTTCCAAAAGGTACTGTCATAGAAACTCTTTCACCTGTATCCAATGTCCTACCGTATAAATAAAAAGGTTGTGTGTCCTGTCTGATGTGGTGTATAACAATACATTGTATCCCATTACGCACGTACAGTACCAGTCAAAAGTTTGGACACACCTACTCATTCAAGTGTCTTTCTATATTTTTACTATTTTCTACATTGTAGAATAATAGTGAAGACATCAAAACTATGAAATAACACATATGGAATCATGTAGTAACCAAAAAAGTGTTAAACAAATCAAAATACATTTAATATTTTATATTCTTTAAAGTAGCCACCCTTTGCCTTGATGACAGCTTTGCACACTCTTGGCATTCTCTCAACCAGCTTCATGAGGTAGTCACCTGGAGAGCAATTAACATGTGTGCCTTGTTAAAAGTTAATTTGTGTCATTTCTTTCCTTCTTAATGCGTTTGAGCCAATCAGCTGTGTTGTGACAAGGTAGGGGTGGTATACAGAAGATAGCCCTATTTGGTAAAAGACCAAGACCATATTATGTCAAGAACAGCTCAAATAAGCAAAGAGAAATGACAGTCCATCATTACTTTAAGGCATGAAGGTCAGTCAATACGGAAAACTTCAAGAACTTTGAAAGTTTCTTCAAGTGCAGTTGCAAAAACCATCAAGCACTATGATGAAACTGGCTCTCATGAGGACTGCCAAAGGAAAGGAAGACCCAGAGTTACCTCTGCTGCAGAGGATAAGTTCATTAGAGTTACCAGCCTCAGATTGCAGCCCAAATAAATGCTTCACAGAGTTCAAGTAACAGACATCTTAACATCAACTGTTCAGAGGAGACTGCGTGAGTCAGGCCTTCATGGTCGAATTGCTGCAAAGAAACCACTACTAAAGGACACCAATAAGAAGAAGAGACTTGCTTGGGCCAAGAAACACGAGCAACGGACATTAGACTGGTGGAAATCTGTCCTTTGGTCTGATGAGTCCAAATTTGAGATTTTTGGTTCCAACCGCCGTGTCTTTGTGAGACGCAGAGTAGGTGAACGGATGATCTCCGCATGTGTGGTTCACACAGTGAAGCATGGAGGAGGTGTGATGGTGCTTTGCTGGTGACATTGTTGGTGATATATTTAGAATTCAAGGCACACTTAACCAGCATGGCTACCACAGCATTCTGCAGCGATACGCCATCCCATCTGGTTTGCGCTTAGTGGGACTATCATTTGTTTTTCAACAGGACAATGACCAAAACACACCTCCAGGCTGTGTAAGGGCTATTTGATCAACAAGGAGAGTGATGGAGTGCTGCATCAGATGACCTGGCCTCCACAATCACCTGACCTCAACCCAATTAAGATGGTTTGGGAGGAGTTGGACCGCAGAGTGAAGGAAAAGCAGCCAACAAGTGCTCAGCTTATGTGGGAACTCCTTCAAGACTGTTGGAAAAGCATTCCTCATGAAGCTGGTTGAGAGAATGCCAAGAGTGTGCAAAGCTGTCATCAAGGCAAAAGGTTGCTACTTTGAAGAATCTAAAATCTAAAATATATTTAGATTTGTTTAACAATTTGTTGGTTACTACATGATTGCATATGTGTTATTTCATAGTTTTGATGAGTAGGTGTGTCCAAACTTTTGACTGGTACTGTAAGCCATTGGCCATTCTGGTAATACAACTGTACCATAAAAATACAGCTAGACTAAACATCATGGAGTAAACAAATGTACATCATCTTTGTTTGGAATACAGTGTCTCTCAGGCATGTAGTTGTGTGTGTGTGTATGTACACACTTGTTCTACTTACACATTTTCCACCCGTACTCTTTGGTAGTCTGAAAGAATGGCCCCTACAGACACCGCCTCGACATCCTCCTTTTCCTGTGAAGAGAAGAGAGGGAAGGAAGAGGAAAATCCTCCTTTAGGAAACTTTACGTACTTTAAACTCTCACATCACAACGGTTTCCTGTTCCGTCATATGAGTGTTTATTTTAACACGTTACAGAGTCATGGTGATGTCTTGTGATGATCTAATTGGGCCAAAAGGTCACATAACCATCTAAAAAAGAGGACACTATGAGAGAATGATGTCTATAAACAGACACACATGTACGAGCATGTACGGAGAGAAAGAGAGAGAGAGAGACGCGCACACACACACACACTCACTGAGAAAACAGTTTTCTTTCCCTCCATCAGATAGGTGGGGATGTTTACATGATGGTCATATCAAGGCTTTCCTGGCCCTGCACACATCCCCTAGTGAGGGGGGTGAAGGATATAGGATGGAGCCTAACTCCTCGTCCTGGCTGTGCCTGGCTGTAGCATCAGAACAACAATACTAACACTGGAGCAGCAGAGCCAGTCTGCTTCTTATCAGTAGCGTTGTGTGAACTGGCGATGGGACTGTCCACCACACTGCAAGGTCAGAGACCGTTACATAGGGAAGAACTGTGCACATACTCACACATGCACACACACACTCTTCAGTGAGACCCCATCACGAGGCATAATTGACCCAGCCCAGTATTAAGCTAGTCAGTTTGCAAAAGGACTCACTGTGCTACTGAGTGAGTCTGGAAAACAACTGTTAGTAGTTAAGGAGTGTCCTCCAGACATGTTGTCCTCATGACAACCCTCAATGACTGTCACTGCAAACAGAGCTGCCCCCTAATATCCCATCACAGACAACACATCTACCAACACCAAGCTCCAAAACACAGCATCACCTCGTTGACTTAATATATGAAATACATACATCATTTGGGCTAATGTTTGTGCTTAGCCCGTGTCTGTCACACTGCCAAATATTAATCAGATACTTCTTCACATCACATTCATCCTGGGAGACGGCCACACACACAGACTCCAGAGGGAGGCTGCATCTGCCGCCCCACCCACCAAGCCCAGAGACGTATTCAATCTCAAGCTCATGAAATCACTCCAGACTGGCACAGAGCACACACACACACACACACACACACACCCCGCAGCTTCATTAGTACATTACATGGCCTGTAATTAGAATGAGGGGCCGGCCTAGGCAGCGGTGCAGTGGAGGGATGCACAAGTTGCCAGTAAATTACCTTGTAGCCATTATCAATTTCCCAGGCTACTGGTCCTTAAGATAACCCCCCCTTCTCCCTGTGGTCCTTCCTGCAATTTCTCTCTGCCTGATAAACATGCTGATTAAAGCGAGCAGCGTGTAAACCTTTGATACTTTTTAAAATGAAATCTATGCCCTGCCTTGGGCCTGATGCTGCTCTGCTCAGCCGCCGCGCTGCACAGAGATCCACGCAGGCGTGTCAGCTAATCAGATAAAGAATATACTGTCTGTGTGTGTGTGTGTGTGTGTGTTGGGACAGAGAGAGACACACACACACACAGTAGCCCCTGGGCAGAACGAGGGGACAAGGAGGGAGAGCTGCACACATAAACACACACATGCAAACAAGGATAAGCTAGGGTAGTACAGGGATAGGCTAGGGTAGTACAGGGATAGGGTAGGGTAGTACAGGGATAGGATGGGGTAGTACAGGGACAGGCTAGGGTAGTACAGGGACATGGTAGGGTAGTATAGGGAAAGGCTAGGGTAGTATAGGGACAGGCTAGGGTAGTATAGGGACAGGCTAGGGTAGTACAGGGACAGGCTAGGGTAGTATAGGGACAGGCTAGGGTAGTATAGGGACAGGCTAGGGTAGTACAGGGACAGGCTAGGGTAGTATAGGGACAGGCTAGGGTAGTACAGGGATAGGCTAGGGTAGTACAGGGACAGGGTAGGGTAGTACAGGGATAGGCTAGGGTAGTACAGGGATAGGCTAGGGTAGGGTAGTACAGGGACAGGCTAGGGTAGGGTAGTACAGGGACAGGCTAGGGTAGTACAGGGACAGGCTAGGGTAGTACAGGGACAGGGTAGTACAGGGATAGGGTATGGTAGTACAGGGACAGGCTAGGGTAGTATAGGGACAGGCTAGGGTAGTATAGGAACAGGCTAGGGTAGTACAGGGACAGGCTAGGGTAGTACAGGGACAGGCTAGGGTAGTACAGGGACAGGGTAGTACAGGGATAGGGTAGGGTAGTATAGGGACAGGCTAGGGTAGTATAGGGACAGGCTAGGGTAGTATAGGGACAGGCTAGGGTAGTACAGGGACAGGCTAGGGTAGTACAGGGACAGGCTAGGGTAGGGTAGTACAGGGACAGGCTAGGGTAGTACAGGGACAGGCTAGGGTAGGGTAGTACAGGGACAGGCTAGGGTAGTACAGGGACAGGCTAGGGTAGGGTAGTACAGGGACAGGCTAGGGTAGGGTAGTACAGGGACAGGCTAGGGTAGTACAGGGACAGGCTAGGGTAGGGTAGTACAGGGACAGGCTAGGGTAGTACAGGGACAGGCTAGGGTAGTACAGGGACAGGCTAGGGTAGGGTAGTATAGGGACAGACTAGGGTAGTACAGGAATAGGGTAGTACAGGGACAGGCTAGGTAGGGTAGGGTAGTACAGGGACAGGCTAGGGTAGTACAGGGACAGGCTAGGTGGAGGGTAGTACAGGGACAGGCTAGGGTAGGGTAGTACAGGGACAGGCTAGGGTAGTACAGGGACAGGCTAGGGTAGTACAGGGACAGGCTAGGGTAGTACAGGGACAGGCTAGGGTAGTAGGGACCTAGGTGCAGGGGGGTTACAGGCAGCTAGGTTACAGGACATAGGGTATGGGCAGGGTGGGTATACAGGGACAGCAGGGTAGGGTAGTACAGGGACAGGCTAGGGTGTACAGGGACAGGCTAGGGTAGTACAGGGACAGGCTAGGGTAGTACAGGGACAGGCTAGGGTAGGGTAGTACAGGAACAGCCATGGTGTGATGGATTCTTTACTGCCTACTGAATGTCATAGCACTGTGAAATGGGCCCAAACACATACAGTACAGCAAGTCACTATAGTCAGTCTAAAATGTAATGTACAATACAACTCAATCTCTGGAAATTCAGAGTCCTGTGACAATAATTACTCCAGACTGATAACATTTCAGCACTGCACAGAGCCAAGAGGGCTTGTTGTATTACTCTACATAGGCCGCAGGGCTGTTAACTATTTTCTAATGATATAACCTTTTCCCTCAAAAACATGTCAGTTCCTGAAGAGCCAAACGAAGCTTGAGAGAGAGTGAAAGACGAAGAGAGAGGGAAAGAGAAAGATGAAACGAGAGAAAGAGAAAGAGGGAGAAAGAGAAAAAGTGTGTAGAGGACAGGCCAGTCTCTGAGAGGTGTCTAACTAACTGTTGACAATGTGATTGGGTCATTGAACTGTAAACTTGGCAGGGCCTGATTAAACAACAGAGTATAATGCCTCTCCTTTCCCCTCTGTCCTTCAGGGAGCCAGAAGCAGACATAATGTTAAGAGTGGGCACTCCAAGGCCTGAATCATCAAGTAACAATGAAGTGGGCTTTCTTTTAACTACATGGCTCTTAGCTTCGCCACAGATATAATTATTACAAAAAGGCAATAATAGCCACTTTAGCAATCCACTCTAGACATTGAGAAGAGCAAACTCTCACACCCCCTTTTTGAAATGTAGACTCTAGCTCTAATTCTAGACCGTTTGCAAACAAGAACGTATTAACTTTACTTAAAACTCTGGAGAGAGTTATTTTTGGATGACGTTTTGTTTTTGTCGCCGTTATAGCTATCGTCGAGACTGCCAGGAATGAGAAGGGGCTAGCGTTGCTCTCGACAAACTGAACGACTTGGATTTCACAAATTCTAGACATGCTTTCTCATCCGCTGTGGGAAAGCAAAGCAGGCAGAGGGAATAATTGTGAGGCGGGTGTGAATACATCTACAGAGATGGATATTGCAGAAGTGTTCCATGTATTCATGACACTATAAAAACACAAACTTTGATGTCATGCTGCTTAAAATATTTAACTAAATGTTTTATAGTTGGATAATACCTGAAAAAGAGTGAGATGGATCATGAACTATATGTTCGCTAAAAACTTTGAGTGACATCTGGCTGAAGGATGTTTTGATTGTATTACCATTGGGACTGTGGGTAGAATATACGATAACGGTACTATAAATCACAGCACATATTTTCCCAGAAAGATATCCTACTATAAGAATTATAACGCAATAAATCTATTGTGACTGTCAAAACGTATAGCCAATACAATTAATACACATTCAGTTAAGATGATTTATTGGACTATGGGTATGCTGCTTATTCAGAATATCTAGCTACAATGACACCATGTCATTGTTACCTCAGACTGTTCCCACAATGCTCTCTGTTCCTCCTCCATGACTGTTGGTGTGCTGAAGGACCCCAAGGACCCCCATCAGGGGCAGACTAAACAAAAGCCTGTCTAGTCTAGCTGTAGTCGTCAGGAAACTCAAGACATTAAATTAGGATATATGGCTTGGAGCACGGGCACATTCAGGCCCACAGCCATGTCCATCAGGGTACTTAGCCCCATACAGTCATTAACTTCTGTTACTAATTGTCAAATTCATTAAAGGAAACCTCCCCCCAAACGTCCCTCATGAAAATGGATGGACTGGGCTGAATTATTAAGGGCTCAGAAGATTAAGGCTCCCAGACATGCTTCACCCAAAAAATAATACGGTCATTAAACTCTATTTCAAGGTAGCATGTGTGATATACATTGTAATTATATATACATACATTGGACCATCCAAATGTAATTCAATTGTATCATTGGCATACAGTTGAAGTCGGAAGTTTACATACACTTAGGTTGGAGTCATTAAAACTAGTTTTTTCAACCACTCCACAAATTTCTTGTTAACAAACTATAGTTTTGGCAAGTTGGTTAGGACATCTACTTTGTGCATGACACAAGTCATTTTTCCAAATTGTTTACAGACAGATTATTTCACTTATAATTCACTGTATCACAATTCCAGTGGGTCAGAAGTTTACATACACTAAGTTGACTGTGCCTTTAAACAGCTTGGAAAATTCCAGAAAATGATGTCATGGCTTTAGAAGCTTCTGATAGGCTAATTGACATCAACTGCACATGGGGACAAAGATCGTACTTTTTGGAGAAATGTCCTCTGGTCTGATAAAACAAAAATAGAACTGTTTGGCCATAATGACCATCATTATGTTTGGAGGAAAAAGGGGTCTGCTTGCAAGCTGAAGAACACCATCCCAACCGTGAAGCACGGGGGTGGCAGCATCATGTTGTGGTGGTGCTTTGCTGCAGGAGGGACTGGTGCACTTCACAAAATAGATAGCATCATGAGGAAGGAAAATTATGTGGATATATTGAAGCAATATCTCAAGACATCAGTCAGGAAGTGAAAGCTTGGTCGCAAATTGGTCTTCCAAATGGACAATGACCCCAAGCATACTTCCAAAGTTGTGGCAAAATGGCTTAAGGACAACAAAGTCAAGGTATTGGAGTGGCCATCACAAAGCCCTGACCTCAATCCTATAGAACATTTGTGGGCAGAACTGAAAAAGCGTGTGCGAGCAAGGAGGCCTACAAACCTGACTCAGTTACACCAGCTTTGTCAGGAGGAATGGGCCAAAATTCACCCAACTTATTGTGGGAAGCTTGTGGAAGGCTACCCGAAACGTTTGACCCAAGTTAAACAATTTAAAGGCAATGCTACCAAATACTAATTGAGTGTATGTAAACTTCTGACCCACTGGGAATGTGATGAAAGAAATAAAAGCTGAAATAAATAATTCTCTCTACTATTATTCTGACATTTCACATTCTTAAAATAAAGTGCTGATCCTAACTGACCCAAGACAGGGTATTTTTACTAGGATTAAATGTCAGGAATTATAAAAAACTGAGTTTAAATGTATTTGGCTGTATGCAAACTTCCGACTTCAACTGTAGGCCTATAGCCGAAGTGCAGATACAGAGATATAATCTAAAAAGACAGAGGCATGCCCATCATGTAGCACGATGTTGATCTACTTCTTCTACTTACATAAAATGCTTGATGAGTCAACCCTTTTCCTGAATTCTTATTCATCAAGTTTTGCATCAATATTGACAGACCAACTTTTATCCCAAATCTGTCTGTAGTGTCTTGAGTTTAATAGTGCTGCAAAACTAATTTCCCCTTGGGAAAACCACTACTACTACTAAGAATCAATGATAAAAATACAATGATATAAATGCAAGCAAAAAATGCACAAACAAAGTTTGGAACTTGATTGAAACTACGTAGCATTACCACTTTCAAAGTGAAAGGGGATTCTGTAAGGGCAGTATTTTACTGAACATCAAACAGACCATCCATTTTCATCTTAGATTTTAAATAGGGTACTTTATGTTATCAATCATATCACTCCATCTGGATTAATATTTAATATACCAAAGTAATTAATAGAAAACAGGGCAATTAGGAAGCTATAAAATATTCAAACTTCACATATTCATTAAGTACATCAGAACGCTCATTAAATGATTGTGTAGATGATCAAAACAAAGTCTTAATGACATACTCAAAACTCCAGAGATTTGTTTCTAAATTAGGCCTAATCCAAAGGGCCTGTGTCCTCCGATTCAGACTATTAGCCATTAACCATAGTAACTATCGTAAAATCATTAGATATCTGGTATTCAATAAAGCAAGTTCGCCTTTGCACTGAACGATTAGCAAAAAACAGCTCTTATTGTAATACCATATAGAAGCAGGTATTTACACAGTCAGTCTTTCCTCCTGGCTCATGGTGTTTACGTGCCTTCCTGCATGTTAGTGTTACTGCCCCGGCCTCATAGCATGACTAGGCAGGAAGACAGGGCCTGAGAAATTAATTAAAGTGCCTTGAATGACAGTTTGCTCAAGGGCACACGGTACCGTCACGCGCCCCGGCATGTCCTTGTTGTCATACCGACACCCCCCCCCCCCTCCCCACCCCGTTCCATTAGTGAGTGACTGGACACGACATGGTTTTAATGGCTCAGGCGCCATTATATCAGCTCTGCTCTGGGCCTGTTCTAATGAAATGGGATTGTTCTCCCGTGCTCCGCTACACAGGGGTGACACAGGGGGCCCCTGTTCTGTTATGACGATGTGTGCTGTGCTGGAGGTCTGGGTGTAAAGCGTGGGGTTCAAGCAATTTGTGCTTAATAAAATTTGGGACAACACTCCAGGGGCCTTGTTAGGGGTATGTTCAGACACCTCTGTGGTCATGGATGTGACAGTCACAGGAGCCTTCCAGTGGGATGGGGGAAATTGCTATGCTGTTTATTTGTGTTATCAGCATCATTATCATTCCCTTCATACACAACACAACCCCAGCTAGGCTAGCTAGGTGACCTAGCTACAGTGCTCTCTGGGTTGTGAAGGAGATGGGGAGCAACAGCAGTTTGGGTTCAAGTGTAAAGCAGTGGACTGTAACAGGATAGGTCAGATGGTTCAGCACAGGGCCAGAAACGAGTAAATCAATTTTGTATTTAATTCACATTTTTGCACTGTCTCTATGCAGTCACAGGGCCCTACACACTACACACACTGATACTCCAACACACTTACAAACACTCACTCCATAATTTGCTCACACACACATAATATGCACATACATTTATACTGACTCTACACACCCACTCACATACAATCATCATATACACTGCTGCTACTCTGTTCATCATATATCCTGATGCCGAGTCACCTTACCCCTATACATACACTACCGGTCAAAGGTTTTAGAACACCTACTCATTCAAAGGTTTTTCTTTATTTTTACTATTTTCTACATTGTAGAATAATAGTGAAGACATCAAAACTATGAAATAACACATATGGAATCATGTAGTAACCAAAAAGTGTTAAACAAATCAAAATATATTTTATATTTACGAATCTTCAAATAGTCACCATTTGCCTTGATGACAGCTTTGCACACTCTTGGTATTCTCTCAACCAGCTTCACCTGGAATGCTTTTCCAACAGTCTTGAAGGAGTTCCCACATACAGTTGAAGTCAGAAGTTTACATACACTTAGGTTGGAGACATCAAAACTCGTTTTTCAACCACTCCACACATTTCTTGTTAACAAACTATAGTTTTGGCAAGTCGGTTAGGACATCTACTTTGTGCATGACACGTTATTTTTCCAACAATTGTTTACAGACAGATTATTTCACTTATAATTCACTGTTTCACAATTCCAGTGGGTCAGAAGTTTACATACACTAAGTTGACTGTGCCTTTAAACAGCTTGGAAAATTCCAGGAAATTATGTCATGGCTTTAGAAGCTTCTGATAGGCTAATTGACATCATTTGAGTCAATTGGAGGTGTACCTGTGGACGTATTTCAAGGCCGACCTTCAAACTCAGTGCCTCTTTGCTTGACATCATGGGAAAATCCAAAGAAATCAGCCAAGACCTCCAAAAAATATTTTGTAGACCTACACAAGTCTGCTTCATCCTTGGGAGCAATTTCCAAATGCCTGAAGGTACTACATTCATCTGTACAAACAATAGTATGCAAGTATAAACACCATGGGACCACGCAGCCGTCATACCGCTCAGGAAGGAGACGCGTTCTGTCTCCTAGAGATGAACGTACTTTGGTGCGAAAAGTGCAAACCAATCCCAGAACAGCAGCAAAGGACCTTGTGAAGATGCTAGAGGAAACAGGTACAAAAGTACGTATATCCACAGTAAAACAAGTCCTATATCGACATAACCTGAAAGGCCGCTCAGCAAGGAAGAAGCCACTGCTCCAAAACCGCCATACAAAAGCCAGACTACGGTTTGCAACTGCACATGGGGACAAAGATCGTACTTTTTGGAGAAATGTCCTCTGGTCTGATGAAACAAAAATAGAACTGTTTGGCCATAATGACCATCGTTATGTTTGGAGGAAAAAGGGGGCTGCTTGCAAGCTGAAGAACACCATCCCAACCGTGAAGCACGGGGGTGGCAGCATCATGCTGTGGGGGTGCTTTGCTGCAGGAGTGACTGGTGCACTTCACAAAATAGATGGCATCATGAGGAAGGAAGATTATGTGGATATATTGAAGCAATATCTCAAGACATCAGTCAGGAAGTTAAAGCTTGGTCGCAAATGGGTCTTCCAAATGGACAATGACCCCAAGCATATTTCCAAAGTTGTGGCAAAATGGCTTAAGGACAACAAAGTCAAGGTATTGGAGTGGCCATCACAAAGCCCTGACCTCAATCCTATAGAACATTTGTGGGCAGAACTGAAAAAGCATGTGCGAGCAAGGAGGCCTACAAACCTGACTCAGTTACACCAGCTCTGTCAGGAGGAATGGGCCAAAATTCAACCAACTTATTGTGCGAAGCTTGTGAAAGGCTACCCGAAACGTTTGACCCAAGTTAAACAATTTAAAGGCAATGCTACCAAATACTAATTGAGTGTACATAAACTTCTGACCCACTGGGAATGTGATGAAACAAATAAAAGCTGAAATAAATCATTCTCTCTACTATTATTCTGACATTTCACATTCTTAAAATAAAGTGGTGATCCTAACTGATCTAAGACAGGGAATTTTTACTAGGATTAAGTGTCAGGAATTGTGAAAAACTGAGTTTAAATGTATTTGGCTAAGGTGTATGTAAACTTCCGACTTCAACTGTATGCTGAGCACTTGTTGGCTGCTTTTCCTTCACTCTGCAGTCCGACTCATCACAAACCATCTCAATTTGGTTGAGGTCGGGGGATTGTGGAGGCCAGGTCATCTGATCCAGTATCCCTGCACATTGTAAATATGGTACTGGAACTGACCCTGTATATAGTATGCTTACTTATTTTATCGTGTTCTTAATTCTTATTTTTATATCTCGTGTGTTTTTGTTCTACCTTGTTATTTTTAGTATTACATTGTTATTGATTTCTGCATTGTTGCAGTTAGAGCTTGCAATAAATGCATTTCACTGTACTTGTGCATGTGACATTAAAACTTGAAACAATATGTGTGTGGAAGACTAAAATCTTGACCCTGATTTGGGTGTATATTATGGTATACCAACAAGAAAAGTGTCACAAATACTAACAACCACAATATGCGTGGTGGTGAGGTTCATCATCCCAAATGTGGGCAAAGAAAACAATAACAACTAAAAAGCTGTCCATAGGGAATGCTGTCTTTGTAAAACATACTCAAACTAAAACCTTTTTAGTGGTTCCAGACTCTGAGATGTTCCCTTTGGTAAATTGGAGAAGCTGGCTGTTAGAAGCAGCTGTTGACAGACAGGCCTATCCTTTGTGTTAACGGTTGTGTTCCCTCCATGACTCATCATGCGTCACTCCTCAACAGTAAACAAAATAATGGATGAAAAAAAATGTTAATATAGCCGGCCTTGTATACAGTCCAGACGAGTCCCAGGGATGATGATGATGCGGGACGGAGTGAGACAGTGAGTTTCATAAGAGGAACTATAGTCCTCAGAGAGGCCTCTAATGCCAGGTGTGGTCTGAACAGAAGGATATGACAATGTCCATTGTCTCATCACTGTCACCACGATGAGTGACGCCTATCAGCCTCAGAACGATGACGGCTGACACAACCAGACTGTTCTGGGCTGGATTCTGGAGGAAAAGAAGACGCAACACTTCACTTTCAACACATTCCCACTGAGGTGTTTGTAGACAGGGGAGAGCTTTTTTTTAGGGCCATTTCAGCTTGTTACAGCTCGAGTCTTCCAGCCTGCAGTGCACACACACACACACACACACACACACACACACACACACACACAGACACACAGACACACACACACACACACACTCGCAGTGCTGTGATTCATTAACAGTGACAGAGCTGTGTTCACCGATAGGGCCGGTGCATAAATATGCCACACCGCACAGCTGGAAAACGTAGAACTTCATCAGGGTTAAAAAGTAGAGAGATTAACGTTTCACGAGTTTCCTCTTAAATATATATGGTTACGTAAACAGAGGCCCAGACGTCAGACAGCCAGGCAGGCAGGCAGACAGAGGGCCTGAGCCAAACCAAGCACAAAGCCTTGGATTCAGCAGCAAGCAGGGCCAAGAAGGGTTTCCATATCAACATGCATGGAAAACTAACTAAACGCTGGGAAGCAAGCAGTGGGAAAAGGTAGAAGGGTTTATCAACCCTTTTTTTAAAGAATCCTGGCAATTCAGAAATAAGAGATCAATATGGAGAATTTTCAGGTCAAAACACAGGATATGTTGCAAACAGTTCCAGACGGCCTGCATCTCCATCTGCATCCCTCCAGAAAGAATCAGGACAAACGCCTGATGTGACTCTCCTTTTCCGTAGGGCATAAAACAAACCTTAATCCTTCCTCTGTCACTGAAACATTCTCAGTTGGCTGAGGTGAGGTGGGACTGTCTGAGACACCAAGACAGGGAGACGGTTGTCTGGGTAGCTTCCAGCCAGTGAGATTTCAGGAGGGTTCATAAGGAATCATCACACACCATGGCAACCGGTGTCACGCCACAACAAGCCTTCACGTGCTCCTCTCCGTCCTGCTCCTCTCCAAGATGCAAATGCTTTCCTGCTGAGGTTGTCAATTGGGGAAAAACTCAGTCAGGATACAACCAAACATCTCGGGACCACTCGTCCTCCCTTCTCGTTCTGAGCCTCAGACATCTTGGTGGTCTCCCGGCCCCCTCCCTCTTCAGAGAGAGAGGGGGAAAATATGGCTGTGATGCAGTTTTTACACACTCCAGACTCCAGACAGTGTTTTTCTTCGGCTGGTTATGGCTTTAGCTGCAGGGGGCACGGGGGCTGCCACAAATACTTCTCTCAGGGAATGCTTCGCAAAACAAAACATAAAAGTCAAAGTCTGCTTAATTTTCGGGGAGATGGTTGGTGGGATTTCACTGACTAAGAGCTATCCCTTAGCCATCCGGTCAGTCAGACGAGAGGGAGGGAGGAGGGAAAGGCAGACAGACACTTTTGGGCCTGACCGACGACAGGCAGCTAGCAAAGAAAAGGTGAATGACTTCTTCACAACAGGGTGCTCTCCGAGCGCTCTGGGCCAAGGAGCCTCTGAGTGTTTTTGTATTTGTGTGAAACGGCTGTTGTTTTTAGACGGACGGTCTCTGTTCCAATTACTTCTCATTATTTACCCAGATCTCTCTTCAAGTTGTTGAAACGGCTGAGAACTGATAATGAAGCAATGAGGGTCTGATTTATGCTCATGGCACATTCCTTTTCACATGGGTGATGAACTCTTCTTTTATCAGTGGATCTCAGTGGAAAACTGGGAAAAGGGTAGTAAAAAAAGCTACAGAAAATGATCAACTCTCAGACTCCCTTGTGGTTTAACCAATCAAACAACTCAGAAACCATGTGCGAGTGACTCACATAGTCCACACACACTATCCATGAAAGTAAGTGCAACATCCACTCTTAAACAGACCGCCCAAAATAAAATATTAGCCTAGTCCTGAGCAATCTGATGCAAATAACTCAGAGCTATGTCTACAATCCATCTCTGTGGCCAGGGGAGAAAAATCCTCCATTTGGAACAATGTTTACCCAACCAGCCATAGCAGCTCCTGCCCTTGGCAAGCCAAGATAAGGCTATCTGTTTCCATCATCACTAAACAAGATTGAGCAAAGTACATTAAGCAGAAAAATACAAACAAATTACAAAGGCTTTAGGCTAGGCTCTTTATCTAATGTTTGTGTGGGACTGACTGTTCCGTTAGCTATGTCGGTTGGGTCTGAGGGAAATGTGCCTGAGTCTAATAGATCCTGTCCCGCCACTTCCACACAGGGGCGAGAACAATACAGACGGCCATTATCTCAACGGTAATGCTATCCTTCCTCGTGTGCAAAACAACCCACAATCTCACCCCACTGACTGTCTCTGTTCCAGTCAGCAGTCAGTCTCAGACCAAAGGAAAAGATAACAATGGGCTATCACAGCTAGAAGGAGACCCAGGCAGTGAGTGCCTGGCCGCACTGTAGTTTAACAGGAATCTAGGCAATGCTACTAGCCTCATTAGAAGAACATGAGACAAGCTAGATTACACACAGCCAGCCTACACTTGTCCTGAAAACGCATGAAACTAATTGATATTAACTTTTGAAGAGCATTATCCACTGTTAATGCTACTACCACACTGCTAATTATACCTGTGAGAAGGGGAAAAAATGCATCTTTGCCCCACATAACAGGTACAAGAGCCTCACATTAGTCTTCTTATTGATCCTATCTCATAAAGCCTCTCTGTGACCTCACCGGTTGTGATTTATGCATTAAGCAGCTTTTTAAAGAAATCCATTTTCTTTGAGCCCCCATGTGCCTAACACGGCACTGTGCTGTGCTGGTAATAAGAGTAGGCGTGTTTGATTTTCTAACCTCACAACACACCGCTGTGCTTTGTAACGACTGACTCCTAACACCTCGGCCCCCTGATCGATAACACAGGGCTCCAGGTTCAACACCAGACTCCTCTGCCTGTTCTATTCTTCTTTCCTCTCCTCCTTCTCTCCTACCCCTCACAGCAGGACCTCTCCACTACGGCACCTGCAGCAACGCCACGCCAGGCTTCTAAAGGCTTCTGAAAAGGCTATGACGACAACACAATAGAATCCAGAAATGAAGAGAAGAAGAAGAAGAGAAAAAAATAGAAAAATAATGTTTGGACTGGTGGACGGACGGTCGACTCCCCCTCTCCAATCTCGGAGGGCCCCAGCCCAGTCTGCTGCTGTCGATAATGGAGTGGGGGGTGGAGGGTGACGCTGGGGATGGGGAGAGTGTGTCTGTGTGTTTAACACAGGGATTATCTCGCAAAAAATGTGGTGTTTTAACACGCACCAACGGAAGGGAATGTTTGAACATCTACAAAGGCCAAAGGGGACTGCAGCCTGGTGCTCTCCAGTATTTTTCCGTGACATCTCGAGAATTTGGCTTGATAAAAAGGGAAGAAAAAAAGAAAGTTCAGGGTGTAGTAGCCTACACCGCCCTGGGATAGGCTATCACTCAGTAATAACGATGTTTGAAAGCATTGTGTTCCTGAAAAGTCTAATTAATTACATGGCAGGAAATAAGATCTGAATGTAACATTTCCATCCTCCACAGAGCCAGGGCAGGAATGTGACAGAAATGTTGCTGCTAATTAGACGGTTCATAATTAAAAGCCTAGGTATTAATATAATCTATTGTTCCCCATCAGCCTAATGAGCTGGAACCTATTGTTGCCACTGATTAGTTGAGAGGTTGCAGGGTCATTGAACTGCAGTTGACATCTTTCTATTTCTATCCAAGTTCTTCAAGTTTTTGTTTCCTCAACATACTAGTGGAGAGATACCAAGTATGCTTAAATGTGCCTTCAAGAGAACTAACATAAAATACAGAGATAGAGTAACAACTTTTTTATTTATATAATAAAAAACATTGACTTATTTTACTGCAAAAAAGGTATCTAGTTGAGTTGCAAGGGGATTGAGGGAAAAGAGTATGGGAAGTTTGAACAAGCCAGGATATTAGAGCTAGAAGCTAATGCTTATAGCACCATGTGTGGAGGATGAAGATAGAAACGTGTTATTATGTAACCTAGGGCCTCTGACCTATCCTTCAAGGGACACTCTCCCTCCCTCCTCCTCTCCTGTCCTCTCGCACAGTGTCACCAGGCATAAAGAGCCAGTGTGTCAGAGCAGAAAAGAAGGGATGAAGAACTTGAAGGATTTGAGATGACTAATATGAACCTTTCCCCAGGCATGCTGGGAGGGGGTGGGAGTGGAGCAGCCGTTTCAGCCAAGGGTGGCTGACACTGCTGATCTTAATCACGGCAGCATGGCCAAGCCAACCACCCTCCGCAGCATGTACAGTATTGATGTACAGGACAGGAGGACAGGTGAAGGTGAGGCCAGGGCAACAGCTCTGGGCACAGAAATGAATAGAGAAGAATCATAACTTCACCTAATTTTATGTTATGAATGCTGTACGTTCCATCCATTTACTGGACGAGAATATCACTGAAAAATGTATAGAAGCATAATGCATGCATTATACAAGTTATGGATTTTAAATGTTTAGTTCTAAACTGAACAGACATTTTCCATTCAAAACGATTTCCTCTTAAAACATTGAACCCCTCATGGTGAGATATAAGATAGAGAGTGACATGCTGACATTCAATCTGTGGTCTGATTTATGAGACATATGCTAGGCAGGGCAGGGGAAGTGGAGCCATCAGATCTGTTGGCATCAGACCGCTTTACATTCATAACACACACACACACGCTGAGGACGGAGTGAAAGATCCCCTCTGCCTCTGACAAGACAGTTATTTCTCCTCCTCAAAGGCCAGGTTCAAAGATCAGCGCCATGGCAGGATGGGCTGGGGTATGTTATGGCTCGCGTGTCTATCGGGTTACACACTTCACAGAGAGCGGACCATACACAGCCACGCACGGGGGGGGGGGGGTGGTGCAAGAGGGGCACATTGTCACTCTGCGATTATCACCACTATTGGGATTGGGGGGGGGGGGGGGGGGGGTTATCATAATTGGGCATTTTTTCCCCCAATGGTTCCACTGAAAATGATCCCATGTGAGAAACCGAAGGGTGTTGTGAGTTAGGTTTGGTTAGGCAATGCCTGGGATTGGTCCATAGGTGGCACTGTTGGCTCATGTTATGAGCAGAGATGTGGAACTTCAAGGATTTAAAGAGAGCAGGGAGGAAGAAAAACAGATTTACTCCGATTCATCACAGCTTCTAAAAAAAATGCTTTCATCTATGTTCATGTGTCATTTGCCAAATATATTTTAATAACATCTAATTAATTCAAACTGCTAGGATGAATCTTTCAAAATATCACACTTCCCAAACAGAACACATTTTTTATGCTAAAACTGCTCTTTTCCTGTGAGGGTGATTTAACAGCTAATTATCTGAAAAGTTTTTTTTATTTTTATTTTTTTCTCCTCTTCGCTCCAACACAATCAAACTCAGCACTAAACCTGAGGTGAATATAAAACACGCCTTTGAATAAACTGGATATTCAAGAGGAAGCAATTGTATTTTTACAGAACCCATAACTGACAAAAATAAGTACAAGTGAGATACTTCAAAAATACAGGCTGGAGACAGGAAATTCACTAACTACACAAACATATCTGATCTCAATGTAATTCTCATAATAGGGTGCAATAAGAAACCACCCCAATTAGAAAACATATTTAAAAGAAAAATTGCATGGAGAGTGAGTAAAGCTCTTTACTTGAGACCTGGGACAAAACTTAACGATACCGATATACAGTGCCTTGCAAGTTCTGTATATTTGTATTCTTCTTTTCACTCTGTCATGTAGGTCATTATTGTGGAGTCACTACAATGTTGTTGATCCATCCTCAGTTTTCTACCATCACAGACTCCGTAGCTGTTTTGAAAATCACCAATTGCCTTATGGTAACATCCCTGAGCAGTTTCATTCATGTCCTGCAGCTCAGTTCAGAAGGACAACTGTATCTTTGATGTGTTCGGGTGATTTAATTTATAATCCACAGCATAATTATTAACTTGACCATGCTTAAAGAGATATTTAAACGTCGGATTTGTTATTGTTCCCATCTACTGCCCTTCTTTATGAGGCTTTTGAAAAGCTCCCTGGTCTTTGTAGTTGAATCGTTGCTTGAAATTCAATACTTGACTGAGGTACCTACAGATGTTGTATGTATGGGGGACAGAGGAAGGGTTAGTCATTCAAAAATCATGTCAACCACCATTATTTCATACAGAGTGAGTACATTATGTGATTTGCTAAGCCAGATTTTACTCCTAAACTAATTTATGAATTTTTTTATTCATCAAAATCTTCCACTTTGATATTAAAGTTTTTTGTTGTTGTATTTTTCAATTAAATCCATTTTAATCCCACTTCGTAACACAATACAATGTGAAGAAATCCAAGGGGTCTGAATACTTTTTCAAGGCACTGTATCTGCCAATATACTGTTTTACTGCGGGGAAATGAAAAAGTGTTATTTTTCCACACTGAATTCGAATAAATTGCCATCCAAAAGAGCAATTAAACAATAACTGTTGATTTCATACATTGTGACAATAATGACACAAAGAGAATGACAGCAAGTGTTCAGATCAGCATGAAATTCATTTTTTTCATCCTATTTATTGAATATCGGTTATCAGTGGAATTATCGACCGATACATCTGTAAAAGGCCAATATCGGCCGATCATATCGGTGAACCAATATATTGGTTGGGCTCTTAGTTACAGGTCTGTGCCCTCCACTGTTAACTGTGAGAGAGGTAAACACAGTGAGAACTGGCTGTCTGCTGGGCCCTGCTGGCCTGGCTTGTGGCCCTAACAAGGGACGGGGTCACGTCAGCCCTGCCCTGGAAAGGGGAAATGAGCTAAACCTAGCAATCACAAATCAAATCAAATTTTATTGGCCACAAGCGCCAAATACAACAGGTGCAGACATTACAGTGAAATGCTTACTTACAGCCCTTAACCAACAGTGCATTTATTTTTTTTATAAAAAAGTAAAATAAAACAACAAAAAAGTGTTGAGAAAAAAAGAGCAGAAGTCAAATAAAATAACAGTAGGGAGGCTATACAGTGGGGGAAAAAAGTATTTAGTCAGCCACCAATTGTGCAAGTTCTCCCACTTAAAAAGATGAGAGAGGCCTGTAATTTTCATCATAGGTACACGTCAACTATGACAGACAAATTGAGAATTTCTTTCCAGAAAATCTCATTGTAGGATTTTTAATGAATTTATTTGCAAATTATGGTGGAAAATAAGTATTTGGTCACCTACAAACAAGCAAGATTTCTGTCTCTCACAGACCTGTAACTTCTTCTTTAAGAGGCTCCTCTGTCCTCCACTCGTTACCTGTATTAATTGCACCTGTTTGAACTTGTTATCAGTATAAAAGACACCTGTCCACAACCTCAAACAGTCACACTCCAAACTCCACTATGGCCAAGACCAAAGAGCTGTCAAAGGACACCAGAAACAAAATTGTAGACCTGCACCAGGCTGGGAAGACTGAATCTGCAATAGGTAAGCAGCTTGGTTTGAAGAAATCAACTGTGGGAGCAATTATTAGGAAATGGAAGACATACAAGACCACTGATAATCTCCCTCAATCTGGGGCTCCACGCAAGATCTCACCCCGTGGGGTCAAAATGATCACAAGAACGGTGAGCAAAAATCCCAGAACCACACGGGGGGACCTAGTGAATGACCTGCAGAGAGCTGGGACCAAAGTAACAAAGCCTACCATCAGTAACACACTACGCCGCCAGGGACTGAAATCCTGCAGTGCCAGACGTGTCCCCCTGCTTAAGCCAGTACATGTCCAGGCCCGTCTGAAGTTTGCTAGAGTGCATTTGGATGATCCAGAAGAGGATTGGGAGAATGTCATATGGTCAGATGAAACCAAAATATAACTTTTTGGTAAAAACTCAACTCGTCGTGTTTGGAGGACAAAGAATGCTGAGTTGCATCCAAAGAACACCATACCTACTGTGAAGCATGGGGGTGGAAACATCATGCTTTGGGGCTGTTTTTCTGCAAAGGGACCAGGACGACTGATCCGTGTAAAGGAAAGAATGAATGGGGCCATGTATCGTGAGATTTTGAGTGAAAACCTCCTTCCATCAGCAAGGGCATTGAAGATGAAACGTGGCTGGGTCTTTCAGCATGACAATGATCCCAAACACACCGCCCGGGCAACGAAGGAGTGGCTTCGTAAGAAGCATTTTAAGGTCCTGGAGTGGCCTAGCCAGTCTCCATATCTCAACCCCATAGAAAATCTTTGGAGAGAGTTGAAAGTCTGTGTTGCCCAGCGACAGCCCCAAAACATCACTGCTCTAGAGGAGATCTGCATGGAGGAATGGGCCAAAATACCAGCAACAGTGTGTGAAAACCTTGTGAAGACCTACAGAAAACATTTGACCTGTGTCATTGCCAACAAAGGGTATATAACAAAGTATTGAGAAACTTCTGTTATTGACCAAATACTTATTTTCCACCATAATTTGCAAATAAATTCATAAAAAATCCTACAATGTGATTTTCTGGAATTTTTTTCTCATTTTGTCTGTCATAGTTGACGTGTACCTATGATGAAAATGACAGGCCTCTCTCATCTTTTTAAGTGGGAGAACTTGCACAATTGGTGGCTGACTAAATACTTTTTTCCCCCACTGTATATACAGGGGGGTACCGGTGCAGAGTCAATGTGCGGGGGCACCGGCTAGTTGAGGTAGTTGAAGTAATATGTACATGTGGGTAGAGTTAAAGTGACTATGCATAAATAATTAACAGAGTAGCAGCAGCGTAAAAAGATGGGGTGGGGGTGAGGGGGCAGTGCAAATAGTCCGGGTAGCCATGATTAGCTGTTCAGGAGTTTTATGGCTTGGGGGTAGAAGCTGTTGAGAAGTTTTTTGGACCTCCACTACAGCCCCGTCGATGAGAATGGGGGCGTGCTTAGTCCTCTTTTTTTTCCTGTAGTCCACAATCATCTCCTTTGTCTTGGTCACGTTGAGGGAGAGGTTGTTATCCTGGCACCACACGGCCAGGTCTCTGACCTCCTCCCTATAGGCTGTCTCATCATTGTCGGTAATCAGGCCTACCACTGTTGTGTCGTCGGCAAATTAATGATGGTGTTGGAGTCGTGCCTGGCCATGCAGTCATGGGTGAACAGGAAGCACAGGAGGGGACTGAGCACGCACCCATGAGGGGCACCCGTGTTGAGGATCAGTGTGGCAGATGTTTTGTTACCTACCCTTACTACCTGGGGGCGGCCCGTCAGGAAGTCCAGGATCCAGTTACAGAGGGAGGTGTTTAGTCCCAGGATCCTTAGCTTAGTGATGAGCTTTGAGGGCACTATGGTGTTGAATGCTGAGCTGTAGTCAATGAATAGCATTGTCACGTATATGTTCCTCTTGTCCAGGTGGGAAAGGGCAGTGTGGAGTGCAATAGAGATTGCATCATCTGTGGATCTGTTGGGGCGGTATGCAAATTGGAGTGGGTTTAGGGTTTCTGGGATAATGGTATTGATGTGAGCCATGACCAGCCTTTCAAAGCACTTCATGGCTACTGACGTCAGTGCTACGGGTCGGTAGTCATTTAGGCAGGTTATCTTAGTGTCCTTGGGCACGGGGACTATGGTGGTCTGCTTGAAACATGTTGGTATTACATACTCAGTCAGGGACATGTTGAAAATGTCAGTGAAGACACTTGCCAGTTGGTCAGCACATGCTCGGAGTACACGTCCTGGTAATCCGTCTGGCCCTGCGGCCTTGTGAATGTTGACCTGCTTAAAAGTCTTACTCACATTGGCTACGGAGAGCGTGATCACATAGTCATCCGGAACAGCTGGTGCTCTCATGCATGCTTTAGTGTTGCTTGCCTCGAAGCGAGCATAGAAGTGGTTTAGCTCATCTGGAAGTATTGTGTCACTGGGCAGCTTGCGGCTGTGTTCCCCTTTGTAGTCTGTAATAGTTTTCAAGCCCTGCCACATCCGAAGAGCGTCAGAGCCGGTGTAGTACGATTCAATCTTAGGCCATTAAAATAACATAGAATTGATCAGAGATACAGTGTAGACATTGTTAATATTGTAAATGGCTATTGTAGCTGGAAACGGCAGATTTTTTATGGAATATCTACATAGGCGTACAGAGGCCCATTATCAGCAACCATCAGTCCTGTGTTCCAATGGCACGTTGTGTTTGCTAATCCAAGTTTATCATTTTAAAAGGTTAATTGGATTAGAAAACCCTTTTGTAAATATGTTAGCACAGCTGAAAACTGTTGTGCTGATTAAAGAAGCAATAAAACTGGCCTTCTTGAGACTAGTTGAGTATCTGGAGCATCAGCAATTGTGGGTTCGATTACAGGCTCAAAATGGCCAAAAACAAATAACTTTCTTCTGAAACTCGTCAGTCTATTCTTGTTCTGAGAAATGAAGGCTATTCCATACGAGAAGAAGAAACTGAAGATCTCGTACAACGCTGTGTACTACTCCCTTCACAGAACAGCGCAAACAGTCTCTAACCAGAATCGAAAGAGGAGTGGGTGGCCCCGGTGCACAACTGAGCAAGAGGACAAATACATTAGAGTGTCTAGTTTGAGAAACAGACGCCTCACAGGTCCTCAACTGGCAGCTTCATTAAATAGTACCCGCAAAACACCAGTCTCAACGTCAACAGTGAAGAAGCGACTCCGGGATGCTGACCTTCTAGGCAGACTTGCAAAGAAAAAGCCATATCTCGGACTGGCCAATAAAAATAAAAGATTAAGATGGGAAAAAGAACACTGGACAGAGGAAGATTGGAAAAAAGTGTTATGGACAGACACATTGAAGTTTGAGGTGTTCGGATCACAAAGAAGAACATTTGTGAGACACAGACCAAAGGAAAAGATGCTGGAGGAGTTTGATGCCATCTGTCAAGCATGGTGGAGGCAATGTGATGGTCTGGGGGTGCTTTGGTGATGGTAAAGTGGGAGATTTGTACAGGGTAAAAGGGATCTTGAAGAAGGAAGGCTTTCACTCCATTTTGCAACGCCATGCCATTCCCTGTGGACGGCGCTTGATTGGAGCCAATTTCCTCCTACAACAGGACAATGACCCAAAGCACAGCTCCAAACTATGCAATAACTATTTAGGGAAGAAGCAGTCAGCTGGTATTCTGTCTATAATAGAGTGGCCAGCACAGTCACCGGATCTCAACCCTATTGAGCTGTTGTGGGAGCAGCTTGACCGTATGGTACGTAAGAAGTGCCCATCAAGCCAATCCAACTTGTGGGAGGTGCTTCAGGAAGCATGGGGTGAAATCTCTTCAGATTACCTCAACAAATTGACATCTAGAATGCCAAAGGTCTGCAAGGCTGTAATTGCTGCAAATGGAGGATTCTTTGACGAAAGCAAAGTTTGAAGGACACAATCATTATTTCTAACCTTGTCAATGACTACATTTCCTATTCATTTTGCTGATGTTGGGCGATTAGGCCTGGCTCGCAGTCGGCGTTCTAATTTATCCCAAAGGTGTTTAATGGGGTTGAGGTCAGGGCTCTGTGCAGGCCAGTCAAGTTCTTCCACACCGATCTCGACAAACCATTTCTGTGTGGACCTCGCTTTGTGCACGTGGGCATGGTCATGCTGAAACAGGAAAGGGCCTTCCCCAAAATTTGGCCACAAAGTTGGAAGCACAGAATAGTCTAAAATGTCATTGTATGCTGTAGCGTTAAGATTTCCCTTCACTGGAACTAAAGGGCCTAACCCGAACCATGAAAAACAGCCCCAGACCACACCACTACCATCCGATAACCTCCCTATGCCACACCACACCATTACCGTTAGATAACCTCCCTATGCCACACCACACCACTACCATCCGATAACCTCCCTATACCATCCCACACCACCGTCAGATAACCTCCCTATACCACAGAGTGATGATAGGCTGATAGGTGGCTCTGAATCTGCTGTAACACATCTCACAGACTGTGACACATGTCATGTAGCTTAGCATAGCTCTCTCTAAACCTTGAAGTGTAGTCACGAGTATGTCTGATGAGACTGTATGGCATTGTATAAAGGGGGTCCTTGATATCAACAGACTAGGCTACTTCTAAGAACAGATTGCAGAGTAAATAGGTTGGTCTTATAGGCTACAAGTGTAGTCTTCTTCAGCCAACTAATTTGCTGTTGCCTCATCTTGCTAAAACACTAGCAATGCAACTCCTCTTATCTGCCCCCATGTCCCACTCGCTCCTCCATATTGAGGTATACCTGGACCATCTTCAGTAGGTGGTAGAGGTCTTCCACCTCGTCTCCCTCTGTCTGGCTGTAGTCCCTCCCAGTGTCGAGGCTGGAGCCCTGGATGGTGCGTCTGTACAGGGGCAGATCCATAGCCTCAGCATACAGGTCTATGGCCTGGTGCCCCACCGTCTGATACATGTAGCTGTCCAACTCATCTAACACATGGGGACGGATGACAGAAGTTCATTCATTTACAGTTTTACTGTTCCACTTAGGCAAGGCACATCCCTTATTGTTGATTTAAATTGATGGAGCATTAAAGACTTCTTCATGGTCACCACGCCGAGGAAGAGAGCTAGGGGAAACATTGACCAATGTGTGAATTTTGCTATAAGTACCAACACATACAGGAGGAAAAACAGGTAGACATCTCACCTGTGTTAGCAGGACGCAGGTTGGCCAGAGCTACTATCTGGTGCCCAGCAGCAACACATTGCATCATGTTATAGCAGCTGTCTTTGCCTCCACTGCAACAATACAGTCAGAGAGATTAATGCATTCACTACATGAAGATGCAACTATGTAAATAGCCGTATCACTGTAACTATGATCTGAAACATATGAATGTTAGGGTGATTTCCTGAAGAGTTCTAATCTGAAATGCAAGTTCCTCTTACTAGCATGTATTCAAAATGTTATGAACCTTTATTTCTGTAACGAATAACGATGCATGCATATTTCATCCACACATCATATTAATCTAACTAGCAAAGTAAACCCGCACACAAAACAAGCAAGCAACCCATCCTTCTCAGATAGCTAGCTAGAACACGGGGACAGAACAGGAAAGCTGTGACAGCAATGAATGGATTTACCTTATCAACGCGACTACTTTCATTTTCTTCATGAAATATTTCTGTAGACATAAACAGTTACTAAATGCATAATCTGATAATGTTATCTATGTTTCGTTTATTCTGAATTTGTGTACAGCATAGCAACCAGTACAGCAGCAGTTCAGCATGTACACAAAAACTAATGGGAAGCAAGTACTTCCTCGATGAAAGGACCTTTATGAATGAAGCTGTCTTGTGAGGTGCCTGATTGAAAATAAACGAGCGCTTTGATCGGTAATGTTCTGAAAAAATATATATATATATGTCCGTGGGTGCGAGTTCCTCCAGTCCTGAAGGTCTACACATGAGCTGCTAACATGTTATACTACAATATAATTAATAGATTTGCAGTTGAGCTGTTTCTGTAGGAATGTTTGGTGAGCAATCAAATGTGAAGATGCTGATGGTGCATTTGTTGTGATGAGAAAGTCAACCAAAGACAGTCATCCAAAAATTAAATCATGATCCCTTCAGTTATCCCCACTGGGCAATTCCATGATAACGGAATTACGCTGATATTCAGATTGTTCACTTTAAAATGTATGCCAGTCAATTTACATTGATTTCAAGGTTTAACAAACCATACAACTATATGCACAAGGACTACTTTTAACAATTTACACAGACATTTAGACAAAAACACATTTACTTGAAGAACAGTGCAGATGCAAAGCTTGTATGACAGTTTGTCCTGTTGGTGCCATCATTCTGTTACCAAACTTTGCATCTGCACTGTTGTAAAATGTTCTGTGTAAATTGTTAAACGTAGTCCTTGTGCATAGAGTTGTATAATAATAATAATATGCCATTTAGCAGACGCTTTTATCCAAAGCGACTTACAGTCATGCGTGCATACATTTTTTTGTGTATGGGTGGTCCCGGGGATCGAACCCACTACCTTGGCGTTACAAGCACCGTGCTCTACCAGCTGAGCTACAGAGGATTTGTTTAAATTTTGAAATCAATGGATTTTGTTTGGCATACATTGCCCCCCTGGTAAATTGACACAAGTTCAAAATAACTGTTTTAATGAACAACCATCAATGTACACTTAAATGCTTAATATTGAGTTAGTTAATTGTTTAGTACAGGCCTGTCGTGTTATTCACAATAATATCTGGGTTGTCATGCCTTATTGCTTAATTATGTTATTAGTTATTAGCCTATTTTAAATATTACACAAATAGGTTGAAAGGGGTATAGCCCAAGACGAGTCCAGAAAATAAAACCCCTCACCCACTCGCCCCATATATGTGTAGCCATAGAGACAGACAGCCCAAACCAAACATCCATGCTATGGTATTCACACAGGTTGTGCTTTCTTCTCTGGGGGAAGGCTGTGGTTTAAGCAAACCTTTTGATGCTATTTTTGCTATATGTTGTTGTGCCAGAGTAGAATAATTGCACTGCTGTGGTGTGTTTCCCTCACCTTCTGCCCCTAAGCAGGCCAAATGCAACTGATTTTGTCTGAATGTACAAAATTGAAGAGGACAACTTCTCAACCCACTGCTTTTTGTTATGTTCCTTTCTCCTGTTCTGTTTTTGTTTTTGGAGCAAGTGGAGCAAAGCCTTAGACCTGAGGATGAGCTCCTTTCACCCTAAAATAATTCCTTCCAAAGCCTGTAAGTGTGTAGGTATAGCCTGGTGGCGCAGACACTGAAATATATACCTACAGTAGTAGGCTAGAGGCCACTGGTAGTATCATCCTTGTGGTAAGGATAATGATTGCGTTACTAAAATCATTCCAAATGATTTTAGCATGCAAATACAGTCTGTAAATGCTGGAAATGATTTAATATTGCTTTTCAACTTTTTTTCTGATTGTGAATAAGATAGGAGTAAATGGATAAATTAATGAGATTTTGATCAAATGTAATCAATATACACTATAAACAAGCTATTATAATGTGAAAATAAGACTTGCCGTCTGTATTTTCTTATCCTTCTCAGATGAAAAGCTGCCCTTTCGCCGAAAGGACACCGCCCAATAGCTCTGTTTGTCCTTCAGTTTTGTAAACTCATACATTTATCAGCACCAAATTTCCAATTGTGTTGGTAATTCTTCACCACACACCTTCATTGCTTCTGGTCATTTCCCAATAAAGCCCATCGGCTCTGACCAATGCAACTGACCTCACTTATCAGTTGTAGTTTATTAAGTAGTTTAATATCCAGACAAATTAATAAAGAAGTGTGTTGTTCTGTTTTTTATATGTGGCAGCACTCGAGCGGCATAAAATAGCGTTTATGTCCTTTTTGTTGGTGCGAGGGGGATAAAAATTGTTGATGGATCGTGCAACCAAGACATAGGCAATGACGTGAATATGAGACATATAAATATGGAAGCAAGGCGGAGGAAATGGCACCCTTGGCCTTTCCTTAAAGGAGCATGTGCATGTGACAAGTGATTTACACATATTACACAAAAAAAAATTTTTTTGCAGAAGGACACAAAAATCTTTCGGTGTAATGAGAAAGTAAGGCTGAAATCACGGCCCGATAAATGAAGTGCCAGGACAGGCCACTCAAGGTTGCATGGAGGGGCAAGAACATAAACACATCTTTCTGTTTGTATTATGTTCAATAGACAGCCTATACTACACAGATACTAGAAATAGTGAAATATGTTGACAATATGTGTACCTTCGTGCAAGGATTCAATTTATGCATTGATGCCAAATCAATTTGCATTTTGTTTTAATAATATATCATCACTAGACTAATGACAAAAAAATCTGCGTAACTGGAAAACAGAAATAACACACTTATTAGAAATATCAAAGGAAATACAAGGGAATGACAAACAATGTTGTAGGTCAGCTGTGCAATGAAACAGAACTCTTTAAAGCATTTGAAATGATTGTATTTTCTCAGGGGGCAGACTTGATTTCCAAAAATTCACAGTAAGAGCATAGAGTCAGGTTCTATTCTTCTTCTGGTGCACATATTTTAATAACTATTTCCCCTTACATTAGTGTGCATCAGAAACCTTCCTAAAGCGTGTGCTCTGTTCAAACTCAAGCCAATCCAGAGTCCAGATTCCGACTTTGTGCAGAACTCAATTTGGGTTCCAATTCTTCATAAGGCCACAAACACAAAGCAGAAGCGGCTTGTGATTAGCTGCCAGATCAAGCCTGGTGTATCCCCCTGGCCAATGAGAAGCTGAGGGTCCAGAACCAGAACACCTGGCGGTCTGTTTGTGTTGAACTCCCTGCTCTCTCAGACTCATGCCTCACTAAGGCATATCAGTGGTTCAAGCCATCCCAACAACAGCACAGCATTTAGCCTACCTGACAGTGATCAATTTGAGTTCCTATTGAGTTCAGCAGCACACACTATTCATACCCCTCACATGGTGTCTCTACAGCTTGTAAGCTCTTATAGACATCTTTGATAGAAATGAGTTAATATTCACCAAGGGGTCATTGGTTGAATATTGTGGCAGTGTTCCAAAACATTGTAGCGAATCTTGATGTTTATTTGACAGTTTATATTTGAATGTGAGATAGACAGACAATTTGAAAGCAGCTCTGTGTATCTTTAACTCAGCCCCACTGTGGTGTTTCCTCGATCAAGAGGCTCATTTTCCAATGCACTATCAACATAATGATGCCTCTTTAGGGCCTAACCACATCCAAATCAGTTAGTAAACAACCCAAATGGGGATCTGTACACATTTGTACAGACAATTAACTGTTATCACGAGGGGCCCAAATGGATTAGTAGCCTCATTAATGTCTTAGGCTAATGCGCCCTTGATTAGAAATGTGAGGAAACGTGATCCAAATTGTGTTTGATCTCAGTGCGATGCTTAAAAAGGCCCCTCAGCTGGCTAACAATGATTGAGATTGCTGGAAATCCCCCCCAGAAAATCTCCTGCTTTTCTACCTTTATTTTATTTGGCGGAAAAGCCGATGCGTTTGTAAATGCGAGCGAGTGAGGTTGATGAAAATTGTCTTCCTTCTTGAAGGCTCCCTTTTTTCTGCCTCCACTGAAAGCTCTCAAATCATTGGTTTGAGTGTTTATCTGTGTTTGTCTCCTCCAGCTCTGTTTTTGGCATGGAAAACCTCCTACTCATTTTGAAGGGGATGATGCTGTTGTGAATATGATTAGGTGGGGCTTGCATTCATAAACCTCAAATATCCTCCATGCCGCACAAACGTGGATGTTAATTCATACCCAAAGGGAACCCTATCCCATACAGGGATTGTATAGGTATTTTGGGAGCCAATCACATACATTGAATTGATTAATAATCATATATCTTATAGTTTATCAATCATGAGCTTTGGACATTCTCAACACCAAAGGAACAGAAACGTTTTGACCAAGCATCCCTAAGTACAAATGTGATTTTGTCTGAATATTTTCCTGATTTGAAATTGTCTTTGATTTTCCTTCCAAAATCCCAGAATCAAATTAAGGGTGCAGTTCTGTTCCCCCTGTGAAGCGCCAGCCAAGTGGATGTGGTCCATTAAAGTACACCATTCTCCTAATTATAAGGCAGCCAGGGAAAATGACACGCACTACTACGTGCCTACCGTCACCTGACTGCTGCCAAACACAATTTTGTACACAAGGGCCTTAATGTTTTACAGAGACACACTCTCAGCCTTAATCAAAGGCCTTGTCCTGATTATCAGGCAGGGTAAGAACATTAATGACACTTCGTGATTTTTATTCTTTACTTTGTGTATTCTGTCGTAAGCAACTGTCATAAGTATAGACAGCCTAGAATACAGAAACTCATCATTCCACTTCAGAAGAATAAAAAGAAGAAGATGAATTGCACAGTACAAACTGGCAGATGATAACTAACCTAAAGTTGTTGCATCACAATAACAGTAGGAATTCTATAAATAAATAGACTAGTTGTAAATTACTTTTTTGGTTTTAAAACTGTAACATTAGACAACTGTAACACTTGGGACTTTACTTGCTGCCAGTGAATCATCCCCAGATCTCTTAACGGGATAGCGAAATTAAGACATCTGCTCTCTGA